CGATTTTTTTATCAGAACGTATCTATCTTCACTGAGGCATACTTCGCTTCGCAATCATTTCTGCTTTTCTCCAAAAATATCTTCGCTAAACACTAAAAAAGAAAAAACTTGTCACTGATTCTGTTCGTCTCTTCTAAGGACGTTGTATTAGATATCAGATTTACGGAAAAAACGAGATGTCGGGCGCGAAATTAAAGAGCGATCGGTTGTATATACGACACCTCCGGTGGCACGTGCGCGACGGTTCACACCGTTCGCACGTACGTCACGTCACGTCACTTCACACGTATTCACGCGAGCCAACCTACTGAGGCACTATGCGCGACTCCGACACGCGCAACCGCGCGCGACTTCCGGGGACTTTCGAATAACGGGCTGACGGCTTGCTTAACTCTGTGAGAGAGAACACCGCGTGAGAGAGTTATGTTGGCTGTACATTGACCGGCACTGCGCCGCACCGTCCTCGCTCTGGCCCCCGGAATATCCTCCCAGCCCCAGCTTGGACCTCGCTGTAGAATATCTCTTGTGATCCTTCGCAAAGTGGGAGACGAGAGTTAACGGAGCAGAGGAAAGCTTGAGAGCGGCCATAGATTTAGCTGTTACTTTATTTCGAAGCGCCTCTATCACAAAACGTGAACGTTCAACTATGTAGCCAATGTCCACGATCGCGTCGGTAATGTCAACGATCGCGTCGGTAATGTCCATGATTTTTTGGTTCGAATCTTCCCTATGTCCATCATTATCAGTCCGTTAGACAGACAAAGACGGACAAACAATCTGTTGCTGCTTGTTCCACTACTAAGCAGAAAAACTCGCGCCAAGCCAGCAGCGATCTTATTCCGCGATTCGAGCTCTCTCTCTCTCTCTCTCTCTCTCTCTCTCTCTCTCTCTCTTTCTCTCGCCCGATTTTTAACGTATTGCGTTATTGGTAAATCATTCGGGAAAAGAAAGATTGACGATTAAAATTTTCATGCACACAGAATTTGTTGCTCACATGAAACTCTTAATTATATTTTTATATTTACTGACGATATAATTGTTTTTATCATAAAATAAATTAAAACAAAAAATCTGTCAACAGTTTTCTATAACATTAAAATAATGTAATACGATTTAGATAAGATAATTAAGGAAACAAACAAATTTTTATTTAGACCATGAAATTTCAAACACCGATGACAATAAGCCATTTTCGGTCAAGCTGGATATTAAGCATTTAGGGATCTACATCGTAATATATAAATTCACACGAAAATAGAAGCATTCAATATCCAGCTTGATCGTAAATGGCTTATTTTCATCGGTGTTTATAATTAAGGAAAATATATCGATGTTAAATTTTTTATTTATACTATAATTCATAAATTTTATTTCCACACTGCATATTTTTTCAACATTAAATGTAACGTTCTGCATTTCTACAGTAAAAAATATAAAATTGACAGATATAAAGTTGTTCCAAAATATATTACCCAATTTAATCTGTAGTCAAATAATTAATTTTAATTAATCTTAAATTACTTAGTTGAAATATTTAATTACTTAAATATTTACAAGAATATCAGTCATATTATTTGTAACAGTTACATGAATCAGATTTGTAATTTGATAGTTTTCTTTCTTATCTTAAATAAATACAAAACTCCAGTAACATGATGAAAAAATAAAAAATCATTGTAACGCGCATTTATAAATCACCTCCTTAAATTCTAATTATATTTAGAATTAAAACTACTTATCACTTATTTGTTTTCATTTGTCCTCGAATTATACATTTGTATGATTTGGTCACGATCTTTTTTAAGGGATATTTTCTTTTTCAAGTAATTTAAGTTCACAAACGTTCGACAACTGCAATTTGTCACTTTTTTTTCGAACCGAAGTCAGAGAATCCCATAATCGTGGCCATTTCGTCGGAAGGTCCTGCGTCATCTTCGGACAGTTCTTCAATCTTCCTCTTCTTCTCCTTTCGCTTCTCCTTTCTATATTCTTTAATTTTTTCTTCCTAAAAATAGAAATAATCTTGTAAAAAAAAGTACAAAATAAAAAAGAATGCTTAAAGAACAATAACTTAAAAGAACCAAATTTAAACGTAATCTTCTAACAGACTCTCCAGATTCAAAAGATGAGTTTAGTAATTAACGGCGAATGAGAGTGCAGCGTTGTTATTGGTATGCAAATAATCAAAGTAGATTTATTTACCTTAATCCTTTATTCTCACATAAAAAAAATTATTAAAAACGTTTTGACTCACTTTGGAGTCATCTTCAACTAATATATCTTAGCTAACAATCTTAAATAAAGAGACAAACCTCTTCCTTTAGTTCCTTCACTCTTTGTTCTAAATCATAATCTTTCTTTTTTTCCTCGAGCTTCTTTTTGTTTTGTGCAAATCTTGCCTTAACTTGGTCCAAGGTAGATCGCTCTATCTTCATAGACATACCAAGATTACGTTGATCTAATTGAAAATTATAAATTATAATTAAAATAATATTTTAAATTCTGTGTTATAATTTCTGAACTATTTAAGTTTACGTTTTGTCCCATTGATATGGTCCAAGAAATTAATTGAATCCTTGACAACACAGTCGCAAACATTGCAGTAATATCTATAGACAAAAATATGAAAACAATGTTATAATTACCATCAATTAAAAATTTTGTACACAAAATTAAATATATTATAAAGATATAAAATATGCAACATTGTATACGTATATTCAACTTTAATAGACAGCATATAAATAATTAAATAGTATATAATAAAACTATACATTGTTCAATATATGTATATTCATATTTCAGTAAAAAGAAAAATCTCAAATTGCCTTGATCTTGACAAATAATAATATTATAAAGGTTATGATTCTGAACAACTTGTTTTAACCATTGATCAAACTTTTTAGAAAATGTTAATGCAAGTGATATTGTTACTTTCAATCTGTAACTTATATATATAATCTGAAAAGTTCTTAATAAAAAGAAATTTTACTATAATGTTTTGAAAAATCAACTCTTGAGGTAAGCTATAAAAATGTACAATGAAAAATGATAGGTTCTATTCAAAAGATTCAAAGTGTACATAATAATACAAAATTATTGTAAATTTAATATTTTTTAAAAGGTAATTTCGAGTTGAAGTTTACCCTCCAGTTTGTGATGATGGTGTATTTTTATTGATAACAACACTTTTTCCTAATTTCGATTCGAGATCAACCTTATAATCTCTTTGCTTCAGCAATTCTCTTTTAACTGCTGGTTGCTTGGGAATTCCCAATTCTTCCTCTGCAATCTCATCTTGAAGTCTTTGAAGTGCAATTCTTTCATACTCTTCTCGATTCCATTTTCTTCGATGATCATCAGGTCGCTATAAAACAAATTAAATATTAAGAGATAAGATAACATACATAAACACTAGTAACAGTGTTGCATATATTTCTTAATAAATCCTTATTACTATTAAATTTGTAATAATTCATTTTAAAAATATTAAAAAAAATTGTATAAATACATCAATAATAAAAATTGTGGAGTTTAAAATAAAACGTGGACATTAAGAATTAAAATGTAAATAGACTGAGTATTATATAACTAAAATTTAACGTTATTTACAATTATGCAACATAAAATTATAAATACCATAGACATGTTTGCATTAATTTTCTTTTCACGATAATAAGATAAATATACGAAGTTAACAAAAATATATTGATATAACCCCTATCAGAGAAACACCTGAGACTTGAGAGCGGCCATGCCCGGGATTTAGCTGTAACTTTTTTTTGAAGCGCCTCTATGTCCACAAAACGTGAACGTTGAACTATGTAGCTAATGACCACGATCGCGTCGGTAATGTCCACAATTTTTTGGTACGAATCTTCCCTATGTCCATGATTATCCGTTAGCAGACAAAGATCAAATATCTGGGAAGAAAGATAGGATCGAAATTAGGGGCATTTCGTCGAATAATTGAATTAGTATGAATCTAACACCATATATGGAGTGCATTGTATACAAAACGATAATTGCGCCGTTGTTGAATACTGTTCGTCTATATTACTCAATTTAAACGATTATAATGTACAGTATTTACAGAAATTACAAAATAAGGGAATGATAATTATATTATGATGCAATTATAGAACAAGAATTGAAGACATGCTTGAGGCATTGCAATTTATGTCAATTAAAGATAGAATTTAATACAATGTTTGTATTTTGATACATAAAATAGTAAATGGAGATTGTCAGGGTTATTTAAAAAATGAGATAGAACAGGCAAGAAAAAGGAGTACAAACAAGATCAGAGGGAAACATACGTATTAAAAGATGTAAACCTAGAGAGAAACAGAGAATGTTGTTAACAATTTACCGAATAAAATAAGAAAAGAAAAAAAGATTAAAAAACTTGAAGAGAGCGTTAGTGCCATACATGAGGAGTGGAGAAGAATAGTGCATTGTAGACGTATGTTGGATAACTAATAAATAGGCATTATGTTAGATTGAATCACACATTGTAGCTATTGAAGCTAATAAGGATCAATCAATCAATTAATTAATTAATCAATCAATTAATCAATCTCTTTCTCTTTCTGATGTTGGATAATTAAGAAGTTTTCAGATACAATGCAAAAATTTATGGAAATATCGTTTTATATTTACTCTTGAAATATTATAACATTATAAATATACATGGTATTACATACATATATTTGAAGAAAAAATAGCAAGGGGGGGACTTTGAAATAAAATACCTCGAAACATATTAACTTTTTAAGAATGTATTTTTAAAAATAAGTAAAATACATATATATTTTTCTTTTTTATCATTTCACGCATTAATATGCGATTTTTTTTAACGATTATTAAATTTTTTTGACAATTTTCAATCGATACAATAATAACATACTGCTTAAATATTTATTCATAAATATATAAGCTACGTATTCTAACACATACGCTATGTGTACAAGATTAGTTCAAAGAATTTTCACTGCTGATCACTATTACCAATTTTGGTAGATTATTTATAGATTTCGAATTCCAATTGTGACATCATTATCCATTCGCATTGTACTATTGTACATTTGTGAAGAAATGTTTTTAGCAGTATACAAGCTGCAACGTATTGCAAAAATTGAGGTAAAATACTGACACCAGTAATAAAATTAGGTAAAAACCTGTACCATTCCATAAATTAAAAAAAGACTAAAATATAACTGCTATCCCATATAAAAGTGTCTACACTACAAAATAGAAGTAAATTATTGCGCCAAAAATATTTGACTTGTTAAAAAAAGAATTATTAAAACCATTCTATTATATTACCATCCTATCTTAGGAAAGAATTCTGCAACATCCTGAAAAACCTCTTCCGGTGATTTCATAGAATTAACTTTATAAACTAAACCTTGCTGTTCATACATTTCTATGATTGGTAAAGTGTTTTTCAGGTAAGTTTGATGACGCAAGACCAAAGACTGCTCATTATCGTCGCTACGCCCGCTTCCACTGGCACCACGGTTCAAGCAGCGCTGAGTACAAACTTCTTCACTGCACTCACAGAATATTACGCCTTTCAGGATAACTTTTTCAGCCATTACCTGTCATCAACATATACCATACATGAAATAACTATAATATATAAAGTCTACTTCCTACAATCGATTATCAGAAAGCATATATAATTTTAAGGTCACAGCATAGATTTTTGCATAATACATAACGTATGTATAGCGCATAAGCGAATCAATCAGTTAAAATTGTTTCCTTCCATTTCATGGACACGAGAATCTTTGATTGGTTGATTTTCTTATGCACTAGGTACTATGCATTATGCAAAAATTTTTGCTATTAAAATATATAGTAACATAATATATACAACTGTGTATGTACGTGCGTGCATATATATTAATATATTCTTAATAAATAGGTAAAAGGCTAATAAGAGTTAAACTAAAATTAAAAATTGAATCAACGTTAATATTTGACATAAAAAAAATTAACACAAAAATTAAACATTAATAAAATTATGCAATGCGTTGGATAATACATAAATCATGACATGACATGTTTCTGACTTTGACTACAATTGAGGGACCCAGAGGTGAGTTCATTTTCGGAGATATATTATATGTAGATGCTTGTCTTTTACCTATTTAGGTATATTTTGAATACTAAGAGTCCTGTATTTATATATTTAATTTATATATTCTTAATTTAATTATCAATTAAATAAAAAAAGGTTCATGGTTGAAAACTTCGATACTTGAATTATCAAGTATCGAAGTTTTCAGCCATGAACCTTTTTTTATAAATAATAATTTATACATAAATTTTTAATATATTTTCCAGTTATTGTCCCAATTACTGTTGTTAGACTTAACAGGCAAATGTAAACTAAAGACTCATTGTTGAGCTTTCTTCTACCTGAGAGATAACGAAATTACATAAATAAAAATAAAATAAAAAAGAATCAAGAGATGTTTTAATCACACTGAGCTCCCCCATAACTATGAAATCAAATCTGATGTTAATTCCATCTAACAGTACATATTACAAAAAAGAAATGAAAAATTAAATAAAAAAGAAAGAGAAAAGAAATGAATGGTATGCAGAAACTGCCAATAAGAAAATCTAGATTAATTTCGAGAATAGATTTAATTGTAGTGTCTCTCAGTTTTTGAACATGGCCAGAGACACTACCGCGTCTCCTGATTAAAATTGCAAATAGTATACCGGGAGTGAGGAGGCTCACTGTGAACATAGTGAGCCTCCTCATTCCCCCAATACAATATTTGCAATTTAAAAAAATCTATTCTTGAAATGAATCTAGTTTTTCTTAGTTTTGGCATACCATTCATTTCTTTTCTCTTTTTTCTTTATTTATTTTTTTCATTTCCCTTTATATGATATGTATTGTTAGATGGAATTAACATCAGATTTGATTTCTTGGTTGTGAGGGAGCTCACTGTGATTACACATATCATGATCCTTTTTTATTTTTATTTATGTTATTTTATTGTCTCTGAAAAGGGTTAAAAAATGAACCAAAACATGTAAGCACAATTATTATAATAAAAAAGTTTTATTTGGTATATATTAGCATTTGCGTAAAGTTACCTGCGCTTGACTCCTAGTGTCCTTTTCTCTCAAAGTTTATATTTAATTATATTAATTATCAACTCTATCTCAATGTGATATTACTGAAGGTTTTAAATAATAAACCTATTGAATTAAGACAACACAAAAAGATAATTTAATGAAAAATTAAACTATTCTAAACATAAGCTGCACATACTAGAATCAATGTATCTTGTTGTTAATGTAAGAGACAAATCCTAATAATAATTTATTGGTAATCTCAGATTCAACTAATACAACATGGACATTCAACAGACATATCCAAGAGTGTGTCGCATTTCATGCATGATATATAGAATGTATAATCGCTTTATTCTTCTTTAATTTTTGATAAATAATAAGTATAAGAGACAATAATGCGTATTATGTATCGAATAAGGCGATACCTTATTCCAACCGTCAAGATTATCTTGATTTCTGGGGAAACCGTCGATGAGAAATCGGTGATGCGGATTCTTGGAAGTCTGCATGGCACGATCGATGAGGCTACAGGTGATCTCCACAGGGACGATCGTACCGTTTCTGATATGTGTTTCGATGAGCTCACCATATTCCGAACAGAGTTTGGCACGTTCCTCACGCAACAGATCACCGGCAGACAGATGAACATAATCATAATGCTTAACAATGTAGCGGCAGAGCGTACCTTTGCCGGCACCCGGACCGCCTAAGATAAACACCACCTCCGGCTTTTGAGTCGTGACAGCGGACATAGTGCGGATACAACGTCGCGCACCAGCCACGAGTGTCCGTGACATGTACAGAAAATCGTCGCTATATATGTATATACCAACGCACACATCGATCAGTCTTCAGTACATTACACGCGGCAGTTATACTGGCGCCATTTTTAAAAGGCGCTAAGATTAAAGCGGGGAGCACAGACTTTTGCATAACGCATAAACAACATACATAAAGAATTTGATTGGTCCATTGACTCATGCATAAGAAAATGAACCAATAAAATTCCTTATGCACATGCTTTATGCGTTATGCTAAAGTCTGTGCTCCCCGCTTAAGAGCCCCAACACACACTTTTGCATAACGCATAAAGCATGTGCATAAGGAATTTTATTGGCCCATTTTCTTATGCATGAGTCAATGGACCAATCAAATTCTTTATGTATATGTATTATGCGTTATGCAAAAGTGTGTGCTCCCCGCTTAAGAGAGCACAGTGAACCGGAAATTATGCTCAAATCATAACCTTAAAATTCCAAAATCAACCAATAAGATTGTCGATCCTAACCAAAATCTGTATTCCACTGGCTGAATTTTAGGATTTTAGGTCACCACTGACAAGATAACAGACAAACTGAATATTTTTGATTTATTTATGTGTATATAATTTGGGAATCGTTTGGGGAAATTTGGGAAAAGCATTTAAACATTTGGATAATAGTATTTTTCTTGTTATTAACAAATTTTCTCATGCGACAAGTTAGCAGACAGCGATTTTATTTAATGAATTTTACGAATGGAATCAATCGGAAATCATTTGGGGAAAACATCTTTATTATTATTTTCATTTGGGGAAAGTAGCAATTTTGTAATTCAATATATTTATACCAGGAAGTAAGATATAAGGAGACTCCACTCCGTAAAATAAAAGTGGACCCATTTTAGGTTTCGAGTTCAGCTTCCGATTCTGATGAGTGCGAGTAAGAGAAATGATCATTTCTCTTACTCGCACTCATTGGGCGCAGCACTACTAAATTCACGAGCGCTGCGAGTGTTGAGAATCGGAAACTGAACTCGAAACCTAAAATGGGTCCATGTCTTGTAGACTGGCGAGACCTAGAGACCTAGAAAACAGAGATGCGTCATTGAAGGGTATGGCTTGATTGGCTGTCTAAATCACGTGATCAGAGAGCCATTTTAATTCACTATTGCATCTAATAGATATAGTTTTATAACGTATGTACATATATATAGAGAGAAAAATTTAGACAATACAGTGTCAAAGTGCAATAAAAAACTATTATTATGGTGTAAGTATTCTTATTTGTGTGAATATTTAATATCGGACTTAACCTAACCTAATCTAATCTCTCTACCTTTTGCATCAACTGTCATCAGCTTATTGGTCAAGAGCACTTATATTGAATTAAAATGGCGGTGGTTACCTAACTCAACCGACGCAATGTCGCATCTCTGTTTTCTAGGCCTCTAGCGAGACCGAGTGGAGTCTCCTTATATCTTCCTTCATGATTTATACATTGCGAAAACGGACAAAGCTCGAGTATAGTGGGAGTAGTAAGTGTAGTACAAAAAGGTGTAGTAAATCGAAAATCGTCAAAAATTAACTTTACAATTAGATCCGATCTTCAAGTAGGATGTATTCCATTTTACGCATGATGCATCATTTATCATTATTGTTTGAGCGAATGTTAAGTACAATTTAAGAAATTGATTTCTGAATGACATCACGGTTTCCTTATCTATTCTATAGGCACGTGACGGGGACGCTCGGTCCATATATTATAAGTCCATGGTTGCAACGAGTTAAAGTGTGCAAATCTGATTGGCCGTTACCACGGATCTACAATAGGTGTTTTAAGTCTTAAGCCATAAGAAATTAACCAATTACAGTCGAATTCGAGGAAAATAATCGATTATGATTCGTACATTTTTTTACGGCTTAAAACCATTATCTCTATGCTTAAAACTCTATTGTAGATCCAGGGATATGTAGTTCAAGAAGACTAGAGTCCTAGATATCAGAGAAGCGCAACCGGCTTGAGTCAGTATCGCAAAATTACTAAAAAGGTAATAAAAATGGCGTCGTTTGCAGACGAAATATGAAATCCACCAATCGTCTATTAGTCAGCCATTTTTAATACCACTGAATGAATGTCATGATTGGCTGACACTCAGCTAATCAGAATGCGGCACACCGGTTGCGCTTCTCTGATATCTAGGACTCTAAAGAAGACTAGAACCAGGATAGTAAACTAGCGTGGTGGGGGTAGGTCAAAAAACGTCCGCAGTTATTCATACAATGCGCAGTGGCATTGCACATTATATGAAAGTTTGCGCATGCGCGCATCGGTTATAACCAAGAAGTTCTTGTTCTTAACCTTCGTTTTCCCCTCATCCGTGGGACACACTTAAAAAAAAAATCTTTTTAAACCATCTTAAACAGAATGTAAGTTGTAAAAAGAAATTATACTGCACATTATTAAATGCACATGTCAAACAAGGTTTGTTTGACATGCGCAGTCACGAATTGAAAACGACTATCAGAGCGACAGAGAGGACTAATGAAGCGCAAGAGTGGGGAAAGTTTATCCGCCGTCACTTTTTGGCCTACCCCCTCTTATTTCCGTATTATCTTATTTCCGTGGACGAAATAAAAGCGGTCGTCGTAATTGTCAGCGGTACCGTTGTTGCATTCCACAATTATTTGTAGCGCGCGCATGTTGGATGCAGTGGAGTAATGAATTAAAATTTTCGCCCGCCAGCGGGATGCAAAAGTATTTTTTTCAACGTGGAATTCAATAACCATCCACAGTGAAATACATGTAATTTTTTTCCTGATAACATATTTTTCTATCACACTCGTTCTATATTCAATTTTTCAAAAAACATGTATTTGTACGATAACTATCGCTCGGGAAAAATCATATTGGAAGTAACTAAAAAAAAAAATGTGTTCTTTTTATTTATATTTCATACTGATAATTTATTTGCGTTACTTTTTAAATTATTTGTTTAGCTTTTATAGTTGTAGATAAATAAAAGATTTGAAGTAATAAGATATAGTTAAAACAATAATAGTAGTAGTAATTTAAATTACATAAAGTAAAATGTAATGTAAAATGATACACACACATATTACACAACATAGGACATGTAATATATAGTTAAATTTTAGAATAAGTTTTATTCTAAAACTAATTAATGCTTTTCTGGAATTTTGATTAGAATTTTGAAAACTAATATATTCTCTTTTCACGTTGATTGGCGCAATTTTAATTTTTCAGGTCTATAAAATGTTCAGAGGATGATGCTCTTCATGGAATATTACACTCCCCAATTTCCTCTCCTGATAAAACCTCAACGAATCAAGTCCGACAGTCGTTTCACCGATGATTTCATTTTCGCTTTGATGATCCCGCTTTCGGATGGATACACGCGACACACATCGATCGTGCCGTACACACGAGCGTGTGTCGCACTCATGTGCGTGCCATGCGTGTATATATTTATGTGTACGGCTAATGATGGAAGAAAACGTTATTCACAGGGAGGCGGGCGAGTCCGTGTACCATCCTCAGTATACGCCTTGTATCTTAGGTAGGGCTGAGAGAACTCGAAGAGAGAACCACGGACTTGTGCGTTCAGTCTAACTCGGTCCTCGAACTGGTCCCGTGTACTTGGCGTGCTGCGTGTATAACCGGCGTCAGTCACAGCATCCGCGTTGCCGCTTCCCTGACGACGCGAGATAAGCTTCCCCCGAAGCACCGTTGGGCACAACGCTGGTACGTTTCCGCGTCATTCCGTAAAAGCCGAGCTCCGTGCGAGACGACAGAGTCCAAAGTTTTATTCCATCCCTCGGCGATTCCATGAAGGAACTGAATTCTTATCATGTCAGAGTATATCTTTGTAAGAAAACGCGCAGACGTATAACAAAAAATTGTACAAAAAAGTTTGAATTAATTTTTTATTAAACTTTTTCGTAAAAAGTCAATTAAGATATTTCGCGCTAAATTTTTATCACTCTTCAGCAAACGCCTACTAATGTAGTAATATTACATTAATGTTGTAATTTACAACTCAATAATATAACTGTTACATATTCAATATGTGTTATATTTATATTGTAGGAATTAAATTGTAACAGTAACGTGATGTTATTGTTAGTTTGCATTTGCTGCATTTACTTACTTATCTCTCGAAAACTAGACTTTGGAAATACGTGTTAGCGGACATTCAACTCTACTTTATTATTATTACGACGCTATAAAAACAAACATTTATGTCGTCGAAATAACCGCGCACAAAAATCTGTATTTATACATCTCATCTCTGTTTATCGGCTTAAACTGCTGTTATCTAACAATTCAGTAGGGACACAAGGCGAGCAGTAATCAAAAAAAAACAGGAAAAGGGCTGAAAAGTGATTCGGCTTCCTTTCCTACTTCCAAGTTGGCCTGATAAAGCATACATAAAACGGCGGAGACGTTAAAGTCGATTCAGTGGTACGAGACAACAGATCCATCAGCGAAGATGAGTGGCTTGGCGGTTTGTTTGATACTCCTCTCGACGGTGCTGGGTAAGTTACGAGATACATCAGAAATGCCTATTAACTGAGCCCTTAATACCTTGATTTCTAATCGCACGCCGTTCTCGCGACATTGTGAAGATACATACTGAAGATTATTACTGGAGAAAGCGCAGTCGAGTTTAGAATATCGGAAAAATGTTGATTCCCGGTAAACGTCGCAAGTAATATCATGACATCGGTATCATAATTTCTTAGTCACAATGTAATTGTTACGTACAACGTACATGCGTTTGCGTTGTAATTATAATAATGAATTGAAGGTTTAAAGGACTTTATTATTTTTAATAATAATTAACACGTTAAATAAGGCGAATAAGAGTCAAATTACAATATGAAATCTAATATTGATAATTTATTCTAATATTATATATTGCGAAGAATATCACGTAATTTTTGCGCAATATATAATCACGCAATATATAATATTAGAATAAATTATCAATATTAGATTTCATATTGTAATTTGACTCTTATTCGCCTTATTTAACGTGTTAATTATTATTAATTATAATAATGTTATTGAGTGAAAAATTATTAATAAAATTATGTATAAAGGACTCTTGTTAATAAATAAATTTAAATGTAAATAAAGGGCATAAGAGTCAAAAATTAAAATAATCTTAAATGTCAAATTTTATGATATATTACGAAGATAAAATAGATGTTTTCACATACAGATAATGACGTTTAAATAAAATTTATGTTTCTAACGATATTGACATTTAAATGAAGTAGATGTTATTAACAATAATATGATATTGACATTTAAATAAAGTTGATGTTATTAACAGTAATTACATGTTTCGGCTTCTATATCGAGCCATCTTCAGAAAAATCTGAAAATTTTCTTCATTATGATTATTTTAATTTTTTACTCTTATGCTCTTTATTTACATTTAAATTTAAAAATTATTAATATATCATATTACATTATAATGTACTTTTGTAGTTTGTTTATCGGGTTAGAAATGTACCAAAAATTTAATCATACAAAAGAACTATTATTGAATTATTATTTCATAGAGATCGATTTCTTAGGTTTTACATATTTAAATAAAAACTCGTGTCTGCAAAGAGAAGTAAATTTTTTCAGTCATTATAGTTTCAAAGAAGTACATTCTTCGCTTTCAAATGAAGTATAAATTGTATTAGTAATAACTCAGAACAACTCTTCTCGCTTTATTCACTTAACTATTCAAGAAACTCAGGATATTGAAGAAGACTTTATCTGACGTTTGCATAAAATTAAATTTTCGCAGTTGCCGTTCGACGTTATTTAATTGTTATCAATTACAGTCGACCAAACATGACGGAAGTGAAATTGGGGGAGCCTAATTTCTAATTAAATACCACTTGCAGAACCATCGAAATGAACGTAAAAATATAATATAACAGGCGTGTTTGACGCAGAATGATTTTGTATCAAAAATAAAAGAAATAAAAAACAAATAGCTATTTACATAACTATTGAGTTTGCAGTTGAAAAAGTAGCGAATTCTATTCATAGAATATATAACAAAATTTATATTTTAACGTACACGTTTCTCGTTCTCTTTTGATTATTGTACTGAAAATGTTAGTAAAAATTATATATATAACTTTTTGTATATATACATTGCGTGCTACATCGAAACCTTTTACCGACGAAGGACCCCGTATACAGAAATTAAACTCCAGAAATAGGAACAAAAACGTTCCATGAACCGTTAAATACGCTTCTGCGTCGTGTTGAACTCGCGTTCATAAATTTGCTGTTCTTTTTCTTGCCGCATATTGTCTGACTGTGATATACAGCGTCGACCTTATCATCGCCGATTCTGGTACGCGAAGCAACGAATATAAACCACACGGGTCCACGATGTCCTACCTATAACATCGACCTTCGTCCATTAATTCTTCGCTCGGTTCGATGTTCGTTAGAATAAAACTACCGACGTTTTTATTTATTATAATATTTTTAAGGAAGTCACGAATTCGAGTCAATTCTAAAGTGAAGCTAAAATATATCTATAATATTTTGTCATCTTGCAGCTTTGACGTTTAATTATCGAAAATCGCCGCCTTTATTCTCTCGCGGTCCTTTCGCAGCTTTAAAGTTGCCGGGGGGAGGGAATCGACTTCGAGCTCATCGAAGAGTCGACAGACTTTTTGTCTCCCACGTTATTGTCGAGCGTCGAGAGGACGCAGCAAAGATGCAGCGGCGGGCTCTTTGAGTGTGACGGCGTTTTTATAATCACTTCTGTATAACGCAGCTGCAAGCCAGAAGTCGCGCGGGGTCCTCCACGGAGGACATAATCCGATTTCTTTCGACTGTCGAGATATCGCCATCTCGAGGCAGTCGCTTTCCTCGCATATCGGTCCTTCTCTCCGCGCCGCATCGCGCCTCATCTCGTCCGCGCGCTCCCGCTTGCGTGCTTTCTTTTATGTTTCCTCGTCGTTCTGGTGGTTCGACCCGATCTAAATATAGAGACGTTGCAAGGGTCTGACGGGTCAGAAGTAACTTGTCGCTATTAGCAGACGAGGGTCGAGAGCGGACGCGGGCAGACGCCCGCATAGGAGAGACCGTGGGAGTTAGAGAAATTTAACTTCGGACGTATGTGAATCTCTCCGGATAGAATTGAGAGACGCGCGCGGCAAGGATTTATTAAATTTTCCCGCGCGGCTTTTCCGGGCTTCCCCTCCGCGCCGCGCCGCTTGCGAACGCGGGCACGCACCGAAATGGAATCGGTTATTTCGGAGGATGGTCGAGATAGGTCGCAAACTTTCGAGGAAAAATAAGAGAACGTGCAGGAGCGAAATTAATTCTTCCGGCGTTTCATCGAAGCGAGAACAAGTGGTACCTTTTGGAGTTGCAGTTGGAGAGAAAATTAGCTTTTAATTCGTCAAAGAACCGGTTATTATAGCGCGATATTCTACTATTTATATATATATATATATCATCGCTTTTCCGCGTTCTTTGTCATTTACGGTACGCAGCCAATTATTCCGCCATTTTTCCTTCAATTACGACGTAACTCTCTGCCGATCTTGGAAACCAATACTCTACTTCTGTGCGAACCTTTCTATTATTCTTTCATTAATTTGAAACTGATAGGACAGACAATTAGAGTAAAAATGTACGTTTATATACGAGGAGGATCCTCGGGGATCAGCGTTTTCCCGCAGCATCCCGCATGTCGCTCGTCGTTTCACCCCCGGAATCACCATCGACATTTCTGTCGTTTCGACTGGGTTCGCTTTCTCACGGTACATTGGTTCTTTCCATGGACCGGCTGCTCCAGGCGGACTCCATTCCCCAAATTCCGCTTCGCTGTAATAGCATGTTTCTCTCCTACCCGACATCGATTGCACGAGCGGTGGGCTTGCAAGCTCAAAGCGCCGTTTCGCAATCCTTAAGGCTAAAAGACTTTTGTCGAAAGACTCGCGTGTCTTTCTTCCGTCGCGTCGGTTTCCTTAAGCGCTTTTTTACTCGCGATTATCGGCCGGAGAGAGATCGAAAGCGGAAGAAAATCCTCCCACGAAACGCGAAAGAAATTAGGATTTGAGAACGTTATACTGTATGAGAGTAACACGTTACCATTGCAGTTATTTTTTGCCAAAAGAAAAGAATACCTCGTTACTATTATTTGTTACTACATTAATTTAAAAACTAACGCATTACTATTACCGTTACTTAGAAAGTAAGATCGTTACTTTTTCGTTACTTCTTTATGACATTGAGGTATGTAAGACATTAGATTTAAAAATTACATTATTTAATAGTATTAATAGTTAATATTCAAATTAATTGTGTGAATCAATATTCAAAATCTTATTATAAAACATTTCTAGTCAATTAAAAATGATGCAATAATCTATTGAATAGTTATAATAAGAGATAATAAAGTAACTGCTGTAAAAATGTAACGACGTTACCATTTCCATTACTGTTATAAAAAGAAGTAATGAATCACACACACACACACACCTAAAAAAGTGACGAAAATAATAACGCGTTACTTCCCGACTTTGAAACAAAACGTAAGAGCGTCGAGTTTACCGAATGTTCACGAAAACGAGCAAGAACGGAAGCGAAGATTCTATTTAAAAATTCGACGTTTCTTGCGACAGTTTCATTTTTGAACTGTATCTTTTTATTGAATCTTTCTGTCCCTCTCTCTCTCTTCTGTGATAAAAAAGGTAATAAAACATTAAGATAATAATGATGCTTTTCTCATTAAAGTCCCGCAGAAACTTAAAAAGATACAAGTTTTATGATTATGTTATTCAATTATGGAAAGAAGTTGAAAAATAATTATCGCAAAGGTATCGGGCGAGAACGCAGGGATGAAACGTATCGATAGTTCGAGACCCAATTGATTTGTAATAATCAATTGAGGAAATCGCCATAACGACGAACTCACTTTTACTCTCTCTCTCTCTCTCTCTCTCTCTCTCGCCTATTCCTTATTGAAGTCGATCATAAGCAGGCCTCCAAAAAACGTGCTGCAGCGCCGCCATTCTTTTTTTGTATAATTATTGACAATTTTGTACACCATAATACAAGCAACAAATATATATAAAAAGATTTTTTTAATTATTATCTCCCAAAATAAGGTAAAATTTTAAGGCCTCCAAGGTGGGGGGGGGGGGACTAAACTTTTAAGGAAAAAGCTAAATAACGCTATCGATTATTTATCGCGCGATTAATAAAAATCTTTATTTAAAAAATTCTCCAATTATTTGGCTTAAAACTACACAATAATCAACATTATTGTTTATATATCATCAATGTGTAATTATAATTTTATTAAATAAAATACAAAATCTTTGCCGTTTGAAATTAGGTATCGTTGCCATATAAGGAAGGCAATGCTGAATCGGTTTTGATTTTTGTTTAAAATTACACTTACATTAATAATATACATAAATGTTAATTATATTCTAGTTTAAGCTAATATCCTTTGAATAAAGGCTTTTGTAATTAATAAATATAATCTCGGCTTTAACTTTTTCTTTAACTATTCGCAATTCCCCATTCCCTCCTCATACATTAAAACCATCGAAAACATATAATAGTATTTATCTTAAATAGCGAGTGCATTCTACGGTTACTTGTTATACTACTACATTAATTGCAAGTGTATCTCGGATGACTTTTATTGGAATTGGATGTGAGGAATGAAAGATTCTTCGCAATAATGTTGTTCGCGTTTACCCGCGGTATTCGCAATCCTCTCAGTTTCTCTTACATACTTATATATGTACAATATAATACATAAAATTTAATATACGTTTAATCTGATTGAATATTGCTGGACTGGACTTTCGGAAATGTGGGATATTATAATAGCACGTGAAATTTCCGTCCAAGTGCCAATTCAGCGTGCCATCGTAGCTTCTAGTGTTTATATAAGCTTATATGCATTTGTGATTCGATCGTAAAGCCTGTTTTCCTTGCTTTCAGGGATTCTCGGCGACTGTCCTGCGGTGCAGCCACCGCAGTGGGGATCCGTCAGAGAGTACCGTCATAAGGACGGTACTCGGCAGATTGTGTACAGGTGCGAGACGGGCCGTAGACTGCAGGGTCACAAGATAGCGACTTGTACTGCTGACGGTTGGAATCAACCCGTCCCGAAATGCGTGATTAGTAAGATATCGCTCCTACTTTAAACAAACCGGCGTCGTGAAGTCGTTCGTGAGAACGCACGTCTTAAGTTCAAGCAGTCTCTCGTCGGGATTAATCGGGCGCGGAATCTACGATGTATCAATCTCCATCTCGTGTTCCAAATCGACCGTTTTACTCAATTGACATTCATATACGTTCGCAGAACGTATATTTGTTTCGCTTCTTCAGCTTAACAGCGATTAATCGTCACCTGGATGATTTATTCGTTCGTCGATCCGAATATATTTGTGCGTCACGTCCTCAATAATTACAGTATATAAATAGTATATTATTGAGAAATGAGACTTCATTTTAAATTAAATAATTCTACGCGCCAATTTATATTGTTTGTCAACGATTTATGTTTATATATATTGTACAGATAACTTAATTAACATACCATTTGCGAATCACGCGTCCATTCTGGACATACAATATTTACATTTAAGAAGTATTTTGAATTAATCTCAAATTGGAATCGGCGTAAATTAACGATTTGTGCATATCACATATCGCATGATGTCCCCGCGATGTCCATAGCTATGCGGCATTATACTAATTTGATCGACGTAAGTCAATTATCCACTTGAAAGGGAGCTTAAAACTTCTTGTGCCTGGCTCGGATGAAGCCTCGTCGCGCGCATTCAATAGAACTGACGGACAAATCCGTTTACTGCGAAACATCGTGCTGTCGAAATAAAGGGACTCGCAGCGTCAAACTCGCTCTTAATATCGTAACGCAAATCAAGCTTTTGCTTAGTCAATCGGACACCCCGAACTCATGATCGACAGACGGAGATTGCTGGATATGATGATTAAACTCGCTTAATTTCCTTTAATCTTGGCGGATTTACAAATGAGTGTGAATAGCGCGTACTTGACTGCTTTACGCATTATACTTGGCTGATGCGCGCGAATTATGCGTATAAAAAATATACATGATAGCATTCTCGTACGCGATAAAAGGCGGTAAAAGTATCCTGTCTCCATGTTGGATCACCTTACATATATCCAATGAGATTAATCCCCTCTGTGATGTAAAGCTAACGCCGGAATATCTCTAGAAACATTTTTACTCGGTAAAACGAATATTCTATTTAAAGTCCATTCGGCGGACATGTATGAGTGCGACGAGAATTTAATTAAAATTCCTTAATTATAATTGCAAAATGGATTTTATTTGTGCTAGCACAATAAATGTGCAAGGCGCTATAATGATTTGGCGGTGATGAACGAATATTTACATTTATTATTCGTTAACAATTTGCAACAATTACATTATTCTATTCGCGAAATAGGAGGTACTTAGCTGTGACGTTATGTTCTGTTCTGTGTAGATGATGATATGTTGATGGAACGTTTTCGTCATGAACTTTATGTCGGCGATCAACCAATCGCTCCGGACAGGAACAAGGTACAAATCGCGAGGGATCGTCTTAAGGCGCTTGAGGGGATAGACGATTTAAAAAAGGCAGAGAAAAACAAAGGAGGGCAAGAAGAGGAAAAAGAAAAGGAAGAGGTCGGTGAAATCCTCGTCAAGACATAAGATTTTATCAATTATTATAAATATTTACAATCATATTTTATTAATAATTGTTAATAAAATAGAAACTGATTGAAAAATATGTTATATAAAGATGAAGATAAGTATAATAATATATATAAAAATTAATAAGGTTTTATCAATTATTATAAATATTTACAATCATATTTTATTAATAAAATCTAATTCATATCTGATATCAGAAGAGTTATCATTATTTTATAAAGATTTTGCGGATCCATGAGAATGTTTAATATATATATCTATAGATATATTTATAGTATTATATATATCTATATAAGTATCTATATATATATCTATAGTATTATATATATCTATATAGATATAATATACTATAGTACATATATATATATATATATTATATAACATATGACCATATTTTACTTATATACGTATTTAAATCAATTAATAATTCAGTTTCAGTTGGACGCTACGTCCAATCTACATTCAATTATCGAAAAATTTATCGAAAGATGCATTATATTATTTAAAGATTATTTTATGTCGCGTGACACTGAAATTTTGGGTATCGACACCAAAAGTTGGGTGCCGACACCAAAAGTTGAAGCTGACACTATAAGTCACACCCAATTGACACTCAATCATTTAACGGTAACACCGGTTACACCTAACTAATACACCCTCGTTAATGATCACACCCAACCGACACTGAATTATTTGATGGTAACACCGGTTACACTCAACTAATACACCTAAGTTAATGGTCACACCCAATCAACACTCAATCATTTGACAGTAACACCGAAAATGATATCCAAAATGGAGATCACACCCAAGTATTTGAATGTAACACTCGAAATAACACCAAAATTGAAGGTAAACCCTAAACTAACACCGAAATTGACGGTTAACACCAAAAATTTCAGTGTATTTTTCGTAAGGGCGGTTCCATTTAATCTTGTTGCCGTAGGTGCGTAGTGTCCCAACTAGACATCAGCTGTGCTGCGAAGAAAATCCTTAGAAAGGGACTCATCAAGGCCCCTTCGATCAAGCATGCTCGATCCGCCAAATACGCCAGGTTTGTTGTTGCACAAACAAGCCGTAAAACAACTCTGAAATAACGAAAAAATTTATCTTGTGCTTAAAAAGTAACAGGAAATTAATGTCAACCTTCTTCAATTAAATGTGTTTACATATACATTTTGTTACGTATATTTATGTCTATTTATAGACTCTCTCTCTCTCTCTCTCTCTCTCTCTCTATATATATATATATATTACATATATAAATAATTATGTAGAGATAAGATAACATACATAAACACTAATAACAGTGTTGCACGTATTTCTTAATAAATCCTTATTTCTATTAAATACATGAAGTGCATTGAGTGCTTTCCAATTGATAACACAAATCGACACACAAGTGTCGTTCTATCTTTGTCAATCTCTAAATGTCAAGGAAGATAGAATACTTGTGTCGACTTGTGTCATCAATTGGAAAGCACCCATTGTATACAAAGCCATAATTGCGCCGTTGTTGAATACTGTTCGTCTATATTACTGAATTTAAACGATTATAATATGTACATGCAGTATTTACAGAAATTACAAAATAAGGGAATGATAATTATATTATGGTGCAGTTACAGAACAAGAATTGAAGACATGCTTGAGGAATTGCAATTTATGTCAATTAAAGAAAGAATTTATTTAATACAATGTTTGTATTTTGATACATAAAATGGTAAATGGGGATTGTTCGGGTTATTTAAAAAAATGAGATAGAGCAAGTAAGAAAGGAGTACAAACAAGATCAGAGGGAAATATACATATTAAAAGATGTAAAACTAGAGAGAAACAGAGAATGTTGTTATGATGGATTTAAAACGTATAACAATTTAACCGAATGAAATAAGAAAAGGAAAAAGATTTAAAAACTTTAAGAGAGCGTTAGTGCCATACATGAGGAGTGGAGAAGAATAGTGCATTGTAGATGTATGTTGTAAAACTAATAAATAGGCATTATGTTAGATTGAATCACACATTGTAGCTATTGAAGCTAATAAGGATCAATCAATCAATCTCTTTCTCTCTCTGATGTTGGTTAATTAAAAAGTTTTCAGATACAATGCAAAAATTTATGGAAATATAGTTTTATATTTACTCTTGAAATATTATAACATTATAAATATACGTGGTATTACGTACATATATTTGAAGATCAATTTGAAGGAAAAATAGCAAGGTGGGACTTTGAAATAAAATACCTCGAAACATATTAACTTTTTATGAATGTATTTTTACAAATAAGTAAAATACATATTATTATTTTCTTTTTTATCATTTCGCGCATTAATATGCGATTTTTTTCTAACGATTATTAAATTTTTTTGACAATTTTCAATTAATAAAATATAACATACTGCTTAAATATTTATTTATAAATATATAGGCTATGTATTCTAACACATATGCTATGTGTACAAGATTAAATGTCAAAGAATTTTCACTGCTGATCACTATTACCAATTTTGGTAGATTATTTATTGATTTCGAATTCCAATTGTAGACATCATTATCCATTCGCATTGTACTATTGTACATTTGTGAAGGAATGTTTTTAGCAGTATACAAGCTGCAACGTATTGCAAAAATTGAGATAAAATACTGATACCAGTAGTAAAATTAGGTAAAAACCTGTACCATTACATAAATTAAAAAAAGACTATAAAATATAACTGCTATCCCATATAAAAGTGTCTACACTACAAAATAGAAGTAAATTATTGCGCCAAAAATATTTGACTTGTTAAAAAAAGAATTATTAAAACCATTCTATTATATTACCATCCTATCTTAGGAAAGAATTCTGCAACATCCTGAAAAACCTCTTCCGGTGATTTCATAGAATTAACTTTATAAACTAAACCTTGCTGTTCATACATTTCTATGATTGGTAAAGTGTTTTTCAGGTAAGTTTGATGACGCAAGACCAAAGACTGCTCATTATCGTCGCTACGCCCGCTTCCACTGGCACCACGGTTCAAGCAGCGCTGAGTACAAACTTCTTCACTGCACTCACAGAATATTACGCCTTTCAGGATAACTTTTTCAGCCATTACCTGTCATCAACATATACCATACATGAAATAACTATAATATATAAAGTCTACTTCCTACAATCGATTATCAGAAAGCATATATAATTTTAAGGTCACAGCATAGATTTTTGCATAATACATAACGTATGTATAGCGCATAAGCGAATCAATCAGTTAAAATTGTTTCCTTCCATTTCATGGACACGAGAATCTTTGATTGGTTGATTTTCTTATGCACTAGGTACTATGCATTATGCAAAAATTTTTGCTATTAAAATATATAGTAACATAATATATACAACTGTGTATGTACGTGCGTGCATATATATTAATATATTCTTAATAAATAGGTAAAAGGCTAATAACAGTTAAACTAAAATTAAAAATTGAATCAACGTTAATATTTGACATAAAAAAAATTAACACAAAAATTAAACATTAATAAAATTATGCAATGCGTTGGATAATACATAAATCATGACATGACATGTTTCTGACTTTGACTACAATGGAGGCACCTCTGGACCCAGAGGTGAGTTCATTTTCGGAGATATATTATATGTAGATGCTTGTCTTTTACCTATTTAGGTATATTTTGAATACTAAGAGTCCTGTATTTATATATTTAATTTATATATTCTTAATTTAATTATCAATTAAATAAAAAAAGGTTCATGGTTGAAAACTTCGATACTTGAATTATCAAGTATCGTAGTTTTCAGCCATGAACCTTTTTTTATAAATAATAATTTATACATAAATTTTTAATATATTTTCCAGTTATTGTCCCAATTACTGTTGTTAGACTTAACAGGCAAATGTAAACTAAAGACTCATTGTTGAGCTTTCTTCTACCTGAGAGATAACGAAATTACATAAATAAAAATAAAATAAAAAAGAATCAAGAGATGTTTTAATCACACTGAGCTCCCCCATAACTATGAAATCAAATCTGATGTTAATTCCATCTAACAGTACATATTACAAAAAAGAAATGAAAAATTAAATAAAAAAGAAAGAGAAAAGAAATGAATGGTATGCAGAAACTGCCGATAAGAAAATCTAGATTAATTTCGAGAATAGATTTAATTGTAGTGTCTCTCAGTTTTTGAACATGGCCAGAGACACTACCGCGTCTCCTGATTAAAATTGCAAATAGTATACCGGGAGTGAGGAGGCTCACTGTGAACATAGTGAGCCTCCTCATACCCCCAATATAATATTTGCAATTTAAAAAAATCTATTCTCGAAATTAATCTAATTTTTCTTAGTTTTGGCATACCATTCGTTTCTTTTCTCTTTTTTCTTTATTTATTTTTTTCATTTCCCTTTATATGATATGTATTGTTAGATGGAATTAACATCAGATTTGATTTCTTGGTTGTGAGGGAGCTCACTGTGATTACACATATCATGATCCTTTTTTATTTTTATTTATGTTATTTTATTGTCTCTGAAAAGGGTTAATAAATGAACCGAAACATGTAAGCACAATTATTATAATGAAAAAGTTTTATTTGTTATATATTAGCATTTGCGTAAAGTTATCTGCGCTTGACTCCTAGTGTCCTTTTCTCTCAAAGTTTATATTTAATTATATTAATTATCAACTCTATCTCAATGTGATATTACTGAAGGTTTTAAATAATAAACCTATTGACTTAAGACAACAGAAAAAGATAATTTAATGAAAAATTAATCTATTCTAAACATAAGCTGCACATACTAGAATCAATGTATCTTGTTGTTAATGTAAGAGACAAATCCTAATAATAATTTATTGGTAATCTCAGATTCAACTAATACAACATGGACATTCAACAGACATATCCAAGAGTGTGTCGCATTTCATGCATGATATATAGAATGTATAATCGCTTTATTCTTCTTTAATTTTTGATAAATAATAAGTATAAGAGACAATAATGCGTATTATGTATCGAATAAGGCGATACCTTATTCCAACCGTCAAGATTATCTTGATTTCTGGGAAAACCGTCGATGAGAAATCGGTGATGCGGATTCTTGGAAGTCTGCATGGCGCGATCGATGAGGCTACAGGTGATCTCCACAGGGACGATTGTACCGTTTCTGATATGTGTTTCGATGAGCTCACCATATTCCGAGCAGAGTTTGGCACGTTCCTCACGCAACAGATCACCGGCCGACAGATGAACATAATCATAATGCTTAACAATGTAGCGACAGAGCGTACCTTTGCCAGCACCCGGACCGCCTAAGATGAACACCACCTCCGGTTTTTGCGTCGTCACAGCAGACATAGTGCGGATACAACGTCGCGCACCAGCCACACATCGATCAGTCTCAAGACTCTCAAGTCCATTACACGCGGCAGTTATACTGGCGCCATTTTTAAAGGCGCTAAGAATTTAGAAAGCCTGTCCCTGTTAAAGACCTATAATCAAAGATGCGCCAACCGCGAACGGCCCGTGATTGGTCCGCTATTGTGTACCCGTGCCAACCTTACCTGCCTGACGCTGCCCAAGCTAGGTGAGAAGATGAGAGCCTGTTACGTATATGGTTATAAAAATATGTAGGTAAAAATTGCGAAGTATGGTCTTGTTTTATGAAATATGTAATATTATGATAATGATATGATATTATGATATTATTTATTCTAAATATTTTAACATTTAATGTGTAGATTAAAATAAAATTTAAAGCTAAAAATGACACTAATTGCTCAAATATATGAAAATTTTATTAATCATCAATATTCAAATATATAAACATGTATAATTATTTTTTTATTTGTTATATTCAATCATATGTTCTATCAAATGTATTGCCTTTTTCATTCGATTCATTTCGTAAGATTATTTTAATGCTCTTAAGTATTTTTAGAGGCCTAGAAAACAGAGATGCGACATTGCGTCGGTTGGGTTAGGTAACCACCGCCATTTTAATTCAATATAAGTGCTCTTGACCAATAAGCTGATGACAGTTGATGCAAAAGGTAGAGAGATTAGATTAGGTTAGGTTAAGTCCGATATTAAATATTCACACAAATAAGAATACTTACACCATAATAATAGTTTTTTATTGCACTTTGACACTGTATTGTCTAAATTTTTCTCTCTATATATATGTACATACGTTATAAAACTATATCTATTAGATGCAATAGTGAATTAAAATGGCTCTCTGATCACGTGATTTAGACAGCCAATCAAGCCATACCCTTCAATGACGCATCTCTGTTTTCTAGGTCTCTAGCTCTACTCTGCTGAGAAAAGAGGATTAAAATCAGTCGAAACTGATCCGTTTACACCCAAGAAATTTCACTTCATTTTGAAGTGAATTGGGATTAATAGTTGCTTTCCATTTACACCCAAGTGAAACTGTTGTGAGTCTGAAGTGAGCTGAGTATGAAATACTCAAATTAATGACGTCACTACTTGCTTACTTTGGCTGTGTTCCAAAATTTATTGTCAGTGCTGCGTGTATGTCGTCATAAGTGCATGCTACCAATAGCGTTTCAATTTTAGTAAGCATGCTTTTCATGCAAATGCAACTTTCATTTTGGAACGATGCCACCATCTTTGTGCTGTAGCTGCCTCACCTCGATAGCCGCAGCAGTCACAGCAGGAAGTGACGACAAAATTAGTGACGTCATTGCTCTCTCGCAGCACTGTCACAGTGTGCTACGATGATTTTTGGAACAGTGTTGACAGTGCTGTCAGCGCTGACAAACAATTTTGGAACACAGCCTTTGGTAAAATTAACAAATAACAACACAGGTTTATAACCTCACTTTTAAAGTGAGTTTACGAGACTTCAGGCTGCTTTTACATGCAGCGTAAGGGTGCAAACCCATGCAGCGGAATAGCGTAACGCGGAACGAGAGTAGAACCAATCACGAGATTCTCTAGAAACACGGAATGCTCGTTATTGGTTCTGCTCTTCACAGAATCGTTCTGTTAGATTTGCTTACAAAATTTGTAAACAGATCTAACAGAAAAATTCTGTGATTGGCGATCCGCTAATCCGCGATACGCGCGATACGCTCCATGGGACTGCACCCTCAGGCTGCTTTTTGTTACGTCCGCGCAACATTTTTCCGCGATCTTGTAGTGTAAAGCCGCCTTTACATGCGAATAATCTAAGAGCCGCGTTGACGAGAGCGTCGTCACAAGAGAACCTGCCTTAAGCCCATTCTACATTGGTCGTATCGTAGCATCGTAAGGGCTATGGCAGAGAACGAGACGTAACATGCGTAGTCGTAACGTAAGGTAAGGCAGAGAAAAACGTAGCTATCGCAGTAGTGACTAGCAGACTGGCAGTCACTACTACGACAGCTACGTTTTTCTCTGCCTTACCCAGGAAGTAAGATATAAGGAGACTCCACTCCGTAAAATAAAAGTGGACCCATTTTAGGTTTCGAGTTCAGTTTCCAATTCTGATGAGTGCGAGTAAGAGAAATGATCATTTCTCTTACTCGCACTTATTATGCACAGCACTACTAAATTCACGAGCGCTGCGAGTGTTGAGAATCGGAAACTGAACTCGAAACCTAAAATGGGTCCATGTTTTGTAGACTGGCGAGACTGAGTGGAGTCTCCTTATATCTTCCTTCATGGCCTTACCTTACGTTACGACTACGCATGTTACGTCTCGTTCTCTGCCATAGCCCTAAGCGTCGTGAGACTTCTAATTGACACATCGGATTGGCTGTTGCAATAAATTTGTGACCTGCGACGCCTACGATACGATCAATGTAGAATGGGCTTTAAAATCCCTTCCTGAAACGCGTGGGAGTAGGGCGACGGATCCTCAACCCTTTCGGAAAAGCATTCCTCGTTCTTTCTGATTCCGGCTCTCCAACTGTGCGGTTCGTTCTCCTGGGACCTGGGACATCGCCTGCGACGCCTTTGTGTAAGACCACGTGTGAATTTTTTTATTCAAAATCCATTCTCATATCCTAACTCAAATCCACACCGGGTTCTCTTACGCATTACAATTCAATTAACTCACTTAAACAAGCTCTAGTTATAAGTGAATTAAATAATTATTTTTCTATTTCTTTATTCGCGTAATTTGTAGCATTATTTCTAAGAGAATTTATATCCTTAATCACAATTAGCCTGATAAATATAAGATTATCAATATTCCAATAATAAGAATTCAAGTAGTAATAAATGCGATTAGTAATAATTCTATTATCCTTAATTCTAAGATTGAACTTGTAAAACTTCACTAATTTAATTGAATTACGCTGTAAGCATATGTTCTAATTTTCTTTTGTAATTGAACTCAATTAGTATAAAATATACATAATTGTATTTTATGAAATCGGAACAGAACTTGTTTAACGTCCCTATTATCGCTTCCTCAGTTTACTTCTTTCACCTACGAACACGAGGTTCGTGAAGTACTGGCCCAGTATTCAAATCCACCAAGGAAGGATTCAAGCTGCAAGCGTATCGTAATTTGTGAGGACCTACAGGTAAAAAGTAATTACTAAAGTTATAAGTGAATTCCCAACTTATTCCAATTGTAAGAGCCCCAACACACACTTTTATATAACGCATAAAGCATGTGCATAAAGAATTTCATTGGCCCATTTTCTTATGCATGAGTCAATGGACCAATCAAATTCTTTATGTATATGGTTTATGCGTTATGCAAAAGTCTGTGCTCCCCGCTTAACACTAAACGTGTCGACCACGTGGGACGCCAACACCGCCATATCCGGGCTCAACCGTTACATTCCAACGTATCGCCGCGCGCGTCTACTGCATCACCGCTTTGGAATCTCGATCCTATTGGTTACCGATGCTGTCGCATTTTCATAAATTCGTTAAACCTAACATGCAACGGTGCCATGTGACCTCCTACGACGCCGCGTCGTAAGCGAAGCAACGTGCTCGACAACGACTCTTACCGCGCGTGGATTGACGAATCCCTCTGTGTAATATCGCAGCTCTATTTACATCGTAAATTCAACCAATCAAAATGCTTCTCAAAATGTGCATCAAACTTCTCAAATGTCGCACGATGCTCGAGCGACATTTGATCTGCGCGCAGAGCGGTGAGATGAGGGGGACAGCGGAAGGCGGGCGATTCGAAAATCGGCCGAAAGTTGCATACACTTTATGTATGTTCACTTTGTACTGGCACCTTTAATTAATAATATATCAGTTAATTTTCATGATAATATATCATTATTAAATAAAAAGGTTTAAATTTTTTAGTATCCTTTTTTGAACATGGCTTGAACTTTTCATTTTTATGATATGATTTTGTTCGGATGTCATTTACTTTTTAGAGTACAAATATATCATCATAGATAGCCATCATCATAGATAAAGCCTATTTGGATAAAACAGAATAAAATATCAGGTTAAATCTAATTATAAGTTAACCAGATAATGAAAAGTCGGACCTATAAAGACCGAAAAGTTCTATTGCACGTGACCAAACCCAGATAGTATACAATATTTATAAGATTTATTTTAAATATTTTGTAAATATATTTTTATGGTCTTAGATGTTGCACAGATCATAAACATTTACTACAGATATTATGAAATATTTATTGTAAGTGTTATAGTAAATGTGAAAATATTCAATGAGACATTATAATCCAAGTAAAAAATATATTTGAAATCTTTATTTACACTTATTAATATTTAAATATCTAACAATATTTAAATATTACATAAAACATTTGGTCTATATTTTAATAATATTTCGAATAAAGCTTTATGTAAAATACGTATAAAATATATTTATATAACATTTACAAAAATAAATAGTAATACTTATCATAAATATTCTGTACTGTTTCATTATAAATATCTTGGAGCATTTGATTATAACCAATTATAGAAGAATTTTATACATATACACACACATGCGAGCGCTAATTAAAGAATGCTTCAAAGTAAACTTGTACAAGTCAGTTGTACAAGTTTACTTGAACATATGTAGTCAGCTTAAAGCTGGCTCATACAAAAACGTCTCTGTGATTGGTCAATTCGCTGTATTACTTTATCCTTGTTTAACACTACGAGCAACATGGAATGAAATGATATCTCTTTCGCAGGAAATTTACAGCGGAACGGTACACTGCGACCAATCATAACTTTGTTGTCGTTAGTCCGTTTTCTTTTCTGCGATTTTGGTTGGTCGTGATGTTCCGTTTATAAATTTTCATTCAAAGGACGTCAGTCTTAAGCGGCAAGCAACGGAACGTATACATCACAGTCAAGTGTTTGTGAACACAAAATATATTTTATGTTCTTTCATTTACTTTAACGCGACGAGTATTCCTATAATTCGCCTAACTTAATGACACTAAATTTTTAATTACTGTCCAAAAGGAAAAAAATTCAAGAAGAATGAAGTTAATGCAGTCTAAATGGAGAGTGTGTACGAGTTTTTTAATTCTACTAGTGACGGCAAAAGTTGGTGGAACGAGGCCCGAAATTGTTCTCACAGGTGTCCTTACGAAGCCCTTTGTACCTCGAGAATTTGCTTCCTCTGAATGTATCCGCGATGGCGAAATTTATTTGAAGGCATTGGAGACATACACACCTTGGGCGCTTCAAAGTAAGTAAAATAAATAGAAAGATCAAAGAGAGAGAGAGAGAGAGAGAGGGAGAAAGATTCTTTAGACTTCAACGTCTCTCATAAATGAAATATTAGTTATCTAAAATTCCAATCAATATATATATATATATACGAATTAAAATTCTAATAGAAATAATAAATTAATACCTTATAAATAATAAATTAATATCTTATAAATAATAAATGAATTTCTTATATTGTAACATCATGCGATTTAACATTGATAATGACCTAACAGAGGTCGAAACGTTTGTTTTTAATTTTTGTCTTTAATTTTTATTAAACTTTATATTTTAATACAAATGAAGTTCTTTATTTACTATTAGTTAATATTCTAAAGAATTTTTGGCTCGTAGCCCTGTTTCTTAATTGTTTTAAATTAATATCTATTAATAGATGTTACAAAAGACATTTTAGCTATATTTTTGTCTTTTTTAGAAATAATTGAATTTATTTTGCTATTATTAGCAAGCAATTATTTATTAACAAGCAAATAAATTAATAAATGATAAATAGATTTTAGCTGTTGTATATATCTCTAAAAATTTTCTTTAAAAAAATGTAAGAAAAAAGTAAATCGAAGATAATTAAAGTTTGATGGAATTTGTTGACCAGTGTTGTTGTTCCAATAGATTTAATGAGTGTAATGTGTGTATGAGTCAGAAAAAATGCATTTTTAAACCTTTAAATATATATATATATATATATTGTTTGATTAAAATAATATTAAATTATATTTAACTTTTCAAAGAGCTGCAGTAAAATGTTGCAAAATTAATTATCATGCTGAGATGTAAAACTAACAAGATGGTTATATAATATATAATTTGTAGTAATTCCGATTTTTTTATCTCTTATGCAATGAAAATAATTTGGATTTTGTGAGAAAAAATAGCGAGGAGGAAAACATTATATGATCTTTACATATATTTGTTGTTTTTTCTGTTATACATCGCATGTGAAATCACGAAACGATTGCGTTTTTACGTTTAAACATTCAATAATTATCGGACATTGCACGCTGCGCACAATTATCGAGGAAGATTATCGGGTATATATAATATTGCGGATGATATATCGCGACAAGCACACATGGAATGTATATCGCGCGTCAATTATCTGCGATATCAATCTCTTCGGCTACCTCGTAGATAATAGTGATAGATCAAAAAGATCATTCAATGTGATAAACACTTATTTTTTTTTAGCCAACACAACGAGTTCAACGTACTCGACAAGGACGAAAGTGGAAAACATCGCGAAATTTTATCGTCTCTTTTTCTTTTTAAATTTAAAGATAAATTATTTCGAAAATATCAAAGTCACACATTAGTCATATGATTTCGACGATTGATTAGTTTGAACTATGTATATTACGATTAGTTTGAACTATGTATATACAATAATTAGTTTAGATTGCGAGCGTATTTTCGAAAGAGGAACGATATCAAAGTCAAATTTACATTTGATCGAAAAAAAACCTTGTGTCCATTTTTGCAAACAAATTATCGTCTCCGTGACATTTGGACTAGCACAGATTAACGAGTGACATTGATCTCATTGATATTAATACTGTGATGTCGATCGGTGACAGCATCGGCCGTTATAAGATATTTAACTCACACGTCCTCGACGACGCATTTAGATCTCGCTATTATGGATTATCGCTGCATAGATCATTGCCGCTTTGTATTATGATAGCCTTTATCTCGCCGCGATAATTAGTTGACATGTCGTTATTCGTTCTTACGTCAATGCGCAAACACAACGTTCAATGAATGTCCATGAACCATTCGATGCATTTTTCTCTTTTTACTATCGCAGCGTCAATTGGATTTCTCTATTGATAGTATTAGATGTAGTAAAAAAAAGAAATCCATTATTTTTCCAATAGATTTCATGCAAAAATAATGGATTTCATTTTACTATACCTAATATTTGGTCTACGATCATTACGGTTTTTTTAATATTCCACCGGCATTGTACATATAAACATTTTTTTATTCAAATATAGTGTAGTATAATAGTATAGTATATAATAACAAATATTAAATCTTAGCTGCTACAATATGGCATTATTAAATGTTTTTATTTCTTATACATTAAAATTAAAATCGAATATAAGATGTCGAAATAACTAATTCTTATTAATTTGGCAATTGCTATGCAAGTATTGCAACAACAAAACTGTTAAAAAAGCAATTAATGATCTACCGCGCGTATATTCGCATAAAAACATGACGTCAAAATAACGTCTTACAAGGAACACTATCCAACTGTGACTCGCCGATTTGGCTGCAAGTTGGCACATTTTTAGAATTCGGAAAAATAATCGATACATATTTTTTTTATCGGCAAAGAAGAAGGTTTAAGGGTTGAAACTACCCCCTGTATTGCTCAAAAACCCCTAAAATGCATAATAATATGCACGCACATATTAAGTAAAACTTCCATAAAACTTGGTATCTTGGGGTTTTTTGGGTCGCCGATTTCAAATCTGAGGTCATATTTACAAAATTCAAAATGGCGGATCCAAAATGGCGGACCAAATTTTACAAAACTTTTTGGTTTTTCATAAAACTTGGTATGTAAACGGGTTTTTGGGTCGCTGATTTAGAATCTGAGGTAAAATTTACAAAATTCAAAATGGAGGATTCAAAATGGCGGACCAAATTAGTTTTACTTAATATGTGCGTGCATATTATTATGCATTTTAGGGGTTTTTGAGCAATACAGGGGATAGAAAGAAGGTTTCAACCCTTAAACCTTCTTCTTTGCCGATAAAAAAAAATACGTATGGATTATTTTTCCGAGTTCTAAAAATGTGCCAACTTGCAGCCAAATCGGTGAGTCACACTTGGGTAGTGTTCCTTGTTAGCATTACGTCAAAATGACGTCCTCGCGATGACGTCACATAATTTGCGGCATTAACAGAACATCATTAAGACGTCAGCCATAGTCAGTTATTGACCAAAATTTGTATTTGCTACTTTGGTATTGACCAATGTAATTGGTATATGCGTCATACGCGAGATCAAACTGGGTCAGCAAGATGCAGCCACGAGGTTGATGAACGTCCTTGTGTATTATATCATAGACCTGCCTTCGATCGATCGATCTTTTCCAAGCTTGTACGTTACTTAATCGCCAATCTAATTAGTTCACGCACGATTCTCTCAACTACTTATTGTTTATATGACGTTAAATAGTTTGTTCGGTGGAGCACACAAGAAGAACGACAGGATTTCTTGTAAATACGTTAAAGATTCTTCTACTTACAAATATCGAGAAGTTTTGAAATTAAAAACATTTTAATTGTCATATTATCCTGCATATCTATAGATAACGCGTAAAGTTTCCATAATTTATTTATATGATAGATTTTATTTACCCGATTAAAAATGATTTTACTAATTGTGAGTATTTAAGAGATGTTAAGGAAATAATATAAATTATATTAAGATATAAAAAAGTAATAAATTTTTAAAATAGTGTATACTACATTTATTAAACTTAATACCGAAATCAGCCATCAATCCTGAAATAATTTTGACAATTAAAGTATTAATAGATAATATTTTTGACTTTTGTAACACGCGCGCGCTTCTACGTTAAAATCGATCGAGAATGCATTAAATTATCGCTGATATCGTGCAATCTGTATAAGTACACTCGCTATCGCTATCATTCGAGTATTTAAAATTGAATGCACAATTTCCAACGTGTAATTTTCCTTCAGCTTGGCTGATTTTTGCAACGCGCGATTTCCAGTACCTATCCGATTCTGCGAATCTATTAGTATCGCATCGCATAAGTACTTCCGCAGTTAATGTACTTGCGACATTGACGTTGCTCTGCGTCACGGCATCATCACAGTTCCAAGGAATCACCTTGAAATCTCATTTCAAAGAGGATAACTTGCCACTGTACACAGACTAATAATGTACATCGTATAAAGTATAATGCGATAGTTTATTGCCATCCTCCTAGAATTGAACATGATTTTGATCAACGCACCGTTTGTTCCTACCGAGTATATTCCATCGTAGAATTTAATCGCTGATACGCAATTTCTTTTTTCGAATATATAATGTTTTCTCAAGTCTGTTCACTTCGTTTGCTATTAGAGAAAAATAAATAAGTATAGCTATAAAAATGAAGAGTAGAATCAATAAATTTTAATCTTTATATTTAATTGTGGGAAGAAAGAATAACTGCAATAATTATTTATCTATCAAAATAAAAGATGATTTTTATAAAAATTTTATTATAAAAAGATTATAATAAAAATGTATTTTATCACAATTTTATATTTACATTTGTATGTATCATATAGAACAACAGCAAATTGAATAATAACTAGTTAAAAAGTTAGGAGTTGAGCAATAAAATTAATAACTTGTAACTTAAGAGAGGGAATCCTAAAGTCATCTGCATTATTGACTAAATTTTATAATTTTTGTGTATAACAATTACTTTTTTCCTTCTTTACAGATTCGAAAATCCTTTTCCACGATTAAAGTATACGCATTAATACGCATGTCTGTGAGGTAGAGTTTATGTTGGAAACGACAAAATATTTCGAAATTGAGATCTTCTTTACACCATTTCTTAATTTAATATAGTGCTCTAAAGCTGTCGTGACAATATTTGCTTCATAATTCATATAAAAGCTCTGAAATCTGTACTTAAGAAATATTAGTTCACAGATTAGCAGTTTGCACGAAGAAATGTGCAGTTCTTGGAAATTAACTTAGGCATCTAATCAAAACGTTAGTGTTATACGAACATTTAAGTGAGTATGTGTGTGAGATATCGATATAGTATCTACTATGTAGTGATATGCCAATGACATCTGTGTGTAAAATCTATTTACAATTAGACTATGGTTAATTTATATTGCTATAAATAATTTTAAAGAAAAAAATGTAGATTTTTTCCTAGAAAATTATACTTTTCTTTTTTTATATAAATTTAATTTACGAGTAAAATATTACGTATTTATAGTACATTTCATATATAATTTATACTTTTATGTTTAATCTTTCAAACTCAGTCAGTAATCATAAAAATTATAATAATTATAATTACGTTAATTTGATTAAATAATGTCTTTTAAAATTAATTCTTCATTTAACTTAAATTAATTTAACTTAATAACTTATAACTAACAATAAGTTAATTAATATCAATTCTTATTGGACCGCTAAATTTCAAACCGAAATAAGTTAATAATATAATGTATATTGCAATAATTCACAAGGATGTACGTTGCACTCTGAGGACAGAGCATTCGATAAACGATTAAAAATTACTTATACCGAGATTTAAGATATCAGTCTTCAGCAATTATTATTCTTTGGGTCTACGGTAATGGCTGCGTTCAGCACAGAAAGCAGCTTTGCAACTGTTGTAAAATTCTTTAATATGATTGGTCTTGCCCTTATTTCCTCATTAGATCTAAATGTAGAAGCCAATCATATTCAAGAATTTGACAACAGTTGCAAAGCTGCTTTTTCTGCTGAACGCAGCCAATGATTTCGGATATTCGAAGGATAATGTGAAAAAATGACGCTAGCTGATCGTGGATTGAGGACAGAAGAACGCCTTGACGCATTGACTACACCTGCGTCTGTTTCAACCGGTTTCAGAATGTGCTTATTTAAACGGAACGGGAGAAAGGGTGTGTTAAATGTCAAAGCCGGAATGCCGTAAATGTCCAGAAAAACGCAACAATAAGATGCACTGATAGCTGATTGATAGTAGCAAACTTCGCAAACGAGTGTACTCTCTTTCTTATTGAAGCTTTATCTATAGATGTCACAATAAATCCCATACATTTGCAGCATTTTATTCGAGTATTCATATCATCATACAAAAATGGCGCCTTTTTATCGAACATTCCTACAAATTCTGAGGCGTATTTTCGTTCTGATACTATAGTAGCGTTTGGTTAGGAGTATTTTAGGCTGTGACGTCACAATCAGAAACCATGATCGAAAATGACATTTTACTGCCATTACGGAAACACGAATAATACTTGGCGGTAAATATGGACCAGAGAAAAAGGTAGCGTTAGCCTTAGCGATACAATTATTTGAAGGGGATGGATACCTTTGATGATGACTTATTATTACTTATCATAGCATAGTAAATCAGGAGCAGCGTGTAATGTTGCTTCGTTCGCTATTTTAAAAAAAGGACATACAGCAACATTTTAGGATATAAAACTTGGTTAAATGACGTTCTAATATACATATAATACTTAATTTACTTACAAGGGAATCTCGCGAGGTGTCAAATTCTGATTTTAATGAAACTTTGTGAACTCGTAGCTTATATGAAGAGATGAATTTAGAAAATATCAATTATGACAGAAAAATGGTTGGAAGGGGTAAAATGACCCTTTACGTGTACATTGAAAATTATACGAGATATAAAAAAATTTTTTATACAAAGGTTTAACATCAAAATTAGCTCTATTCATTCGCACCGATAATATTATTAAAAAATAATTATTTTTCAAAATTTTTGAAAAAAAATGTTAAATAATTGTTCTTAAAAAAATATTATTGGCGTGAATAAATAGAGATAATTTTATTGTAAAATTTTTGTATAAAACATTTCTTTATGTCTTAAATAGTTTTCGAGATATAACAGTAAAAGCTGAAAACCGCTGTACACGTAAAAGGTGAGTGTTCACCCCTTCAAACCATTTTTGGCGCCCCAACTTCCCTCATTAGTTTATCATACACTAGAAACCCAGAGTTTTTTGGATGTTCCGACATTTGGATATTACCAGAGTCATCCTGACACAGCGTATGCTGATCAAGCTTTAAGATTATATGTTATCCATCACTATTCGTAGCGACGGACTCAAACGGGTCACTTTCCCGCTTAAACAGGTAAACATGCAAATGATCTCCTCAGTTTGGTTGGATGTTCGAGTCCTACCAAGCTAACGCGTTACAACCACACGGTAACAACTGGTAACAACCACAAACGAAAATAACCGTGGTCACTTCTGGTTAATCGTGGTTCGATAACGAAAATACGCCTCTCTGGAGATTAAAGTAGGGTAAACCCGGTATATACGCCGCACCTATCGAAAACTTAATTTATCAATTATTATTTACTATGTTTAAAGCAAATTAATTATACAAATAAGAACTTTGTATTATCTACTACTGTAAAAAAAATATTAGAAATCCAAAATAATTTATTTTCCATATTAAAAAGTAACTTTTTCAAACCCCTGCATTTTTACCATTTATCCCATAGGGGGAGGATAATATGGCCACTCGTATATATTTCATAAGAAAATCACAAATACCTAATCTATAAATAAGATATAAAATGACGACGTAACTTGCATTGTTTATTAATATATGACAATTTTTATTGTTCAGAATGAAAATTGGAATACAAATAGGACTTAATACAATTTTTTTTAATAGCTTCAAATCTTTGAAAATAATCTTTAAACGTTTAAGATTTATCAACATTTATGCATTAATGCAATGTATAATTGTTAAAATTAACAAAAACTTCTTAAATAGAGCGTCTGTGCTGCGGCACAGCATCCCGCTCGCTAAAAATGCCGTATATCCCAAATAGATGGGATATATATGACAACTAATCAAACAAACAATGCAGGAGCAAAGCACTTGTATTTTGCTATACAACATGCTTTACTATTCCTCTACACATATGTATTGCCAAATAACCACTAAGTCTTTTACACGCTCTATAATAATCATTTTATGTAGATTATAAATTATGATGGCACTACTTATTACAGTAAAAAATCGATTTAACTCGCAATAATTTCATTAATATTAACAGTAAAGAACTGAAATTATAACATAATACTAATATACCATAAAGGCATGTAACAAAGTAATTGACGGAAAATTATCCCCACTCCTTCTATTTTTTCTGACTTCTGCGGCATATATACCTATGCGTTACTACAGGAAAATCGTAATAATGACTCGAACTTTCATTCAAGAGCTATAAAAATTCGTACATTGATTAAATAAAGATTCGCTTTTTGTTTCAGTGTACGACGCCTCAGTTAAAATACCATCAGGTTTGATCACCGGCAATTACAAACAGCTGGGTAATTTTGATGAATGCTTACGAATAAAAAACGAGCACGGATTCGTCGGAAAAGCTTGCAATGTGGCAGTACAGTTCAAGATCACCGCGAACGACGGTATATCACGAGATGAATTGGACCTGGGAGATCTGCTCGTAAATGTCGCAATCGCGTCGGTGAGTTCGTATTATTGCAATTACTGCGGTTCAGCGTACAACAATAAAACATTTTATGCGAATAAATAGTCCATTTATCGCCAGGCATATAAATAAATTATAATACGAAAAATAATTAAATAAAAATAAGAATAAATATTGTTTAAATGCATATAAATATTTTTAATCTAACAAAGAACAGACAAGAACTAAAAAAATCAGTTTTCAATTAATAAAAATCCGTGAACGTTTTAAAGGATGCTTCTTATAATAAATGAGTATACAAACACAAAGAATTATGAGTACATGCCCCTTGTTTTCTAATAAAAAATAAGTTATTTAAATCAGCACGGAAAAAGCATTATATACCAGTTGTTACTACAACTGGAAATAATGTTAATTTTTGTCCATCAATCATTTGGTTATGAAGAAAGGATGGACATATTTTAACAGCCATAATTATTTAGATACGTCAATCCGCCGATTATTACCATAATAGTGCTATAAGTTTTTGCAACCAAAAAATATATTAATGGCCGACATAGAAACTGTAGCGATTGTTTTTCGTTACCTACTACAGCTATTTCAAAATTATTATAAATTAACCATTGTAGCTAGCTGTACAATTGAAGGACAATCCATATCGTAACTTTTAACTCGCTGGTCTTAGGTTCAAAAAGCAATAAAATCTTTTCCCTTAAAATTAAATAAATTAATTTTTTATAGTTAGAATTTTTATTTATTATAATTTATTATAATAATAAGTTTGTTAAAAATTAAATTAAAAAGGAAAAACTTAATTTTCAATAATTTTTAATAACTCTATTAATTTTTTGTATTAAAATAAAGAACTATACATTCATATAATACTTTGTTTAATTAGTAAGTATTTTTTAAATTGTTTATAGAATTAATTTTTTAAAATTAAAAACAGATTTTCTACTTTTTGCCTACTTCTTTAGTATAAAATGTATTTGAAATCGAATCTGCTAAAAAAACACTATGTTTTACTTTAAAAAAATCGACTTTCGGATTGAATAGCTCATTTCTGTTCGATGCAGAAATCGAAAACATGACCATTTATTCATGAAATAAAAACCATTTCCTTTATTTTTAAATAAGTATCGGATCATGAGCAACCTGATTTTGAATAACTTAATTAATTTTTATTAGAAAATAATAGGTCATACGTTCATAATATATACGTTTTGTCTAATTAGTTTAGTCTAATACGTTTTGTCTAAGCATTCTTCAAGTTCACAGAATTTTGTTAACTAAAAGCTAATTTCTTAGTTCTTGCGTACTCCTTTTATAAATAATACAGATTTTATTTATTTCCACGGAAATTGTAAAAAATGAAACCTATTTACTCAATGAATATTTCATAAAAGATAATAGCTCTATACAGTTTTTGGAATATCTTCAAATTACAAATTGTCTATTTATGTTGCTTAAGAGGACTAACACTAATAAATATTTGGTGGAGTAGAATGCGACAAAATGGAGTTCCGGCAACTCAATCGTATACGAGTGGATGTTTTGTATTCCGTCCACCTGCAATCATACGGAGATACAAGAGTATCTCGAAATCGCACTCGACCCATTGAATATCAAAGGACGTGTAGAAATGAGTATCGTCGTTCCTAAGGAATCGTGTCACACCGCGGAAACTGTTCGAAGAACTTGGGACACTGCTGATTGGTGTTACATGTAAATAAAGTTTTCTTATTATCAAATAAACATTAATTTTTCTACACTAATGTACTAAATCTGCAGTATAATATCTGGGAATTTTCTAGATCGATTCTTATACTATTAGCATTGATCATTATTATCAGCACGGGATATGATATCGTAATACAACGGAATACTAACGCGTCGAAATTGAAAGGTAAGATATATCAAAATATTTATTCTTTTAGATTTATTCTTTTAAATACATTTTTTACATATTTCGTATAAAGTTAAGTTAAATTTAAATTAATGGATTTAATTACTAAGTTTTACGGAATTAATCTTATATTGATTATTGAGAAAGAAAAGAAGGTGCAATTAATAATTTTAAGAATTATTTAAATAATGTTAATTATTAATAATAAACATTATTAATAATTAATAATTATTAATAATTCATAATTATGAATATAAAATACTTTAACAAACTCTCGAGAATGTCAAAAACAAAAACAAGCAACGGGAGATGAGAGTTAAATCGCGATAAATAATGCGCGCGATAACAAATATTATTTATTAATTATATAATTCTTAAAATAGTTTCGGCTTACTTTTAAGCCATCTTCAGTGATCTGACGCAATACAAAACAATGTAATGTCCTCATGGTTGCAACGGGGAGTGATAAATCCATAAATCCCTCTAACTCCATTCAATTTAACACAATAGATGAAAATTCATGTGGCAAAAGAATCGAAGAATAAATTCTATATGTAAGAAATATTAACATTAGTATGAGTGGTGTAAAGATAAAAAATAGAGAAAAAACGAAAAAAGGGGAGCACTCACCAATGCAGCCGTGAAAAATATGAATAAATCAATATGAGTTGATACATCGAGATGTTAAGATAGTAAAAGAGAACGTGGTATATGCTTCATTATATGACAACGGTCAACAGTCAAATAAGTCATAATCGAAATGTACGCGAGAGACAATATATGCATGCGCAAGGAAGTCGATGCTGTGGATTAATATCGGTACAATAATTATGTAGGTATCAATAAATTCAAAAAATGAGATGAAAAAAATATTGTTTTAAAAAATTTACAATCACGCAGTAAGTTTAAAATATGTCGAATAAGTTATAGACGGTCAAGTCCACAGAAAGTATTTCAATTTTTGTGGACTTGACCGTCTATAACTTATTCGACATATTTTAAACTTACTGCGTGATTGTAAATTTTTACTGCGTTAAAATATTGCGACATCTGAAGATGGCTCAAATACAGGCCGAAACGTTATGTTTTTAATTTTTAATTATTATAGTTTTTTTAATGTTCTCTCTCTCTCTCTCTCTCTCAATTTGTTTTATATGTAGAACTGAATAGTATATTGTAATTAAGATTTAATTTAGTAACTAAATACATTTTGCATCATAAGTGATTTTGTATATCGTATTTATGTTCTTTGACTCTTATTTGCCTTATTCTTTCTTTGTTTTCTAATAATAAGAGTTCTAATAATAAGAGTGCGACGGCATGAACTAATTATAACAGAGTCATATTTGAATCTTCAAATATTATTTTTCAATAATAGACGAGGTACACGTACACACACGCGAGTAAGAAGCGCGCGTCGGTCCTGAGCACCATGTAGACAAGAACGCTTATTTGTTAATTTCAACTTGCTTTACTGTAAAAACTACTTGTCAGACGTAATTTGGTTAAAGGAAAAAGTTATTTGTTTTAAGCATAAAGTATCACATCTTGCACTCCGTATGTGGGAATTTTGAATCACCCTGTATATAATATATGCTATATATGATTTTGATTTATAATATTAATCTAATGTATTTCATAATCTGCATGTGTTTTTTTTTAATAAGATAATATTATCCGGAAATTACAGGTGATAATAATTTTGATAATAATGATTTCTCATGTAGATATTTTTACGGCGTTTTCTTTGTACACGAACGGGAAAAAACTGTTGAAAACTGAGGATAGACGTAAAGATTCTATTTGCTGTCTAGACGGCTTGCGTTTCATTAGTATATGCTGGATTATTTACGGTCATACTTATTACACGGAAGCTATTAGTGTCAAAATGGACCTCACACAGATTCCATATGTGAGCTTATACAATTTTAACAATATCTAATAATTACATTATCCTATTCTCTGTTTGACTATATGTATAATTGGCGCTTCTTTTACCTAGTCGATATATTTAAAAATTCATCTAGAGATACTATCAAATCTAGTTTTAACTGCACTTTAGCACTTCTTTGTGTTAGTATTTATCTATTTAGGTATATTGATTTATATATATATTATAATTTCATTGTTTTATATGTTTTTACCAAGAATTTTACATAAGAGAACTAATTAGAAAAACATTATATTAAGAAAAAAATATAACAATATAGAGGTGACCATTATTGTTATAATAACCATAAAATAATTTATTCAACTATGTACATTAATTCTACATGCAAAACTTGTATATTTTTCACTTTTATATTTGCTATTATTACGTTTTTTTCTCTGAGTGCCCATATTTTTACAAACTTAACAATTTATAAATAATAATTGCATTATATATATGTCGTAGGCAAATAGTATTTGGCTGAATCGCTGTTAGGCAAATGGTATTCAGCCAAGCATGCATGATGCATTTTATAGTATTTGTTTTCACATAGACATTCTTGTCATAGACAGGGCGTTCAAGAATGAACCGCGAGTGCACTGGTTGGCTTCAGTAGCAATATGAGAAGAAGCGCAAGAAGCGCGACTTCGACGTCGTGTCCTACGCATTTGCCGAAAGCTATTTTCCTAAAATTACTATTTTCCTACCACATATACGTGATATATGATAGCTAAAAGTTACATTGTTTTTACCTCAATCGTTTCAATTGTGAAAATATTCTTATGATAAAAAAAGATGCATTACGATTGGAACAACATGCTTGTGCTCAATGGCAACATTGTTACGGATACTTTCTTTCTTCTGAGTGGGATCCTACTCGCTTACACCGAATTATCAAAGAAGGAACGAGCCGCCTCAAACTGGCGATTCGACATGATAGGACTTTATGTTCATCGTTATGTGAGGTATGTATATACAGCCAAATCGAATTTTCTCGCGATTTGAGTTTCAAATATATTCCATAAGTCCACATTTGATCTATATTTCTTTCTTTCTTTCTTATTTTTTATCTCTTCAAATTCATGAAAATAATTTCTTCTTTTATCAGATTAACACCGGCCTACGCGATGATGATTGGTTTCTATGCCACACTGTTATACAAATTTGGTACAGGCCCGCAGTGGGATATTTTGATCGGCACTAATAAAAACCTTTGTCGTCAGAATTGGTGGACCAACTTGCTCTATGTTAACAACTATGTTGATGTATCAAACATGGTAAATTATTAGCTATTGAGTTTAATTTATCTTGTACATTTTTTACATATTATTTATAACATACTAAATATGATCGTGTATTGAACAGAAGTTAACCATTATTTTGTAGAAAGAGTAGATACTATGACGTATGTTAAAATCTATGCAGCACATATTCTTTTATCATAATATTATTATTTTATTTGTTTCTTTCTTTTTGCTTTCGATTTACTAAGTTTACCTATTAAGGCCCGGTTGCACCAACACTTTTTGATTTTAAGCGAGACTTAAAACTCTATCTATCTCATTTTGAAGCCGAAAGGGAGACAGAGACAGTTTAAGTTTCGTTTAAAATCGAAATCACGTTGGTGCAATCAGGCCTAAAAGTGCTATTTTGTACTTATCGCTGCTCTCTAAATTTTTCAGATTTGTGCACTTTTACGAAATTCTCATTCTTTTCTTATGTTTACTTCTAGTGCATGTCCCAATCTTGGTACCTATCGACCGAGATGCAGTTTGTTTGGCTATCGCCGTTTATACTGTATCCTATGCTCAAATTTAGAAGTCTGTTCTTTGCCATTATTTGGGCCATCTGCTTATTTCTTTCGGTTTTAGTGCCTTTTGCTACAACTTATGCTCATCAACTAACAGGCACCATGCTATATTATAAGGAGTGAGTGTAGAACTTTAATTTCGCTTTTGTTTAAAAATTATATTTGATTAAGGAATCCTAAAGTCGTCTGTATTACCGAATAAAAAGTAGGCAGTCTAATGCCCGTTTCCACCAATGTAGATTAACTTTATAATCTCGGTTAAATTTACTGTTCATCTTTTTCTAATTTTTATAACTAGAAAAAGACGAAGAGCAAATTGAACCGAGATTAAAGTTAATCTACATTGATGGAAATGGGCATAAGTAAGATAAACTAACCTCAGAACCGACCAGCGGGGTGAGGGGCCGGGTAGAAAATTGTGGTGGGCCACCAATCGGATCGCTGCGTTAGCCTCCCTCCCTCTCCGTGGACCCCGTGGTATGGAAATATGCTATGTGCCCCGAAATCCATTGTGCGGATCTGGAATCTGCGTTCGCGCACGATGAAGGTCGCGCGAGGGATGGCGCTGGCGGCGCGGCCGCGCTACGTTTCCCGCGCTACCGCTGCGTGCGATCGAGGCCGCGCGTGCGCGCTGTGTTTCCCTCGCTTTTACCGTCGCGAGTAGCGTGACGGCGTTCGAAGACGCGGTCGGCGCGTGCGTAAAGCTGGTTCTACATTATGGATTTTTACCGTCGCGAGTAGCGTGACGGCGTTCGAAGACGCGGTCGGCGCGTGCGTAAAGCTGGTTTTACATTATGGACCTTCTACAATAAGCCATAAGTCATAAATCGGAAGAAACTAAATATTGACGACTGTGATTGGTCCATTTCTAGCTTATGACTTATGATTTGTGACTTTACGGCTTATTGTAGAAGGCCCATTAAGCCGGTTCTACATTAGTTGTAAGCCGATCGCATGTTCGTTGCGATAGCCAATCTCTAGCTTGCATTTTAAAATCAACGCTTCAGATTGGCTATCGCAAAGAACATGCGATCGGCTTGCAACTAATGTAGAACCGGCTTTAGTTGAAAGTCGATCGCAAGTTCGTTGCGACAGCCAATCTCAAGCTTGCATTTTGAAATCAACGCTTCAGATTGGCTGTCGCAACAAACTTGCGATCGGCTTGCAACTAATGGAGAACCGGAATAATAAAAAAATGCCTTTAACGGTCGAGCTGGATCTTAAGTGCCAATTATAATTCCGTGTGAATTTTTCTTATTGGTTGTGTTTCTCACATATATGGTTCTATAAGATTGAAGAGATCCGGATTCGACTCCTCTGGCCGAGGTAATATTTTTCACAATATAAATTAATTATTTACAAATTTTTCATAGATTTTAATATGTCGTTCAATATTATATTAAGATCCAATATGTTATGAGCATCAAAATTATTAAATTGCTAGATAATTTAACTCGTGATATTATTGCGGTAGTTTCGTAGAGTAGCGTTTTAAAACGTTTCAAAAAATTGTTCGGCGCGCGGTTTAAAAGACTATACATATGTAATATATAAATTCACACGAAATTATTTGGCACCTAAGATTCAGCTCGACTGTTAAAGACATTTTCTTATTGGTTATATTTTATATATTTAGCATTTAAAATCTTTTGATATATCCACTCTGTGAATTCTCTTATATTATCCAAGTTTTCAAAAATTAATTAAACATCAAATCACACTATGAAAGATCGTGTAAGGTTACTTAAATGATGTAAATTTCTATGAAAATTGCGTACACAAATTACACAAAACTTTCTTGATTATTGAATTTTAGTAATTTCATTATCTCAACAGGATGTTATATGTTTCATAGACAGATGGATGTAGCTGATGTTTATCTGATGATCTATACAAAGACATACAATAGATTTGGGTCTTACGTCATTGGATTAGGCTTGGGATACTTGTTGCATAAAACGCGAGCTTACAAAATCAAATTACGCATCGTAAGTATTATTCACACAATTATATTTATAGTACTTTCATATTTATTTTATTTAATAGTTAATATTAATCGTCATTTATTTATAATATTTAATTGCGGAATTAATATTTATTTTGTGTAATGATCAATATAAAGTAGATTAAAGTCAAAATATCTTTATACAAATGGCTTCATAAACGTTTCTATAATTCATATCTATATGTATTTTATACATTAATATTTTGACAAATAATATACGTATGGAAATATCTTTAATTTGAAGAAATGATATGGTAATAAACTGTTACAAAATCGTTAAATTGTCTTCATACAGTGGTATGTGATTTTTGGTTGGCTGCTCGCGATTATGGCCGGTTTATCAGTGATTTTCGGACCACGAAACATGTACTCCGACATTCACGTATATAACAGATTAGAAGCAAGTTTCTATGCCGGTTTTCATCGTCAAGGTTTTGCACTCTCGGTCTCCTGGATCATCTTCTGTTGCACGCACGGATATGCAGGTAATCATTGCACGCATACGCGAGATAATTACCAAATCGAATTATGTCAACTGTAGTTTCTAAAAATGATAATCATTTCAAGGTCCTATAAATTATTTACTTTCTTGGAGTGGATGGATACCGTTCAGCAAATTGACCTACTGTGCTTATCTTTGTCATTATCTGTTCATACTATCACACGTCGGAGCCGTTCGAACTACCGGTAATTTAACGCAAATGAACGTGGTAAGTAAAAAAAATATATATGTTTTTAAGGTGCAGATGCTGGAGGTCTCATTTTATCGATAAAGTTTGATTAATTTTCTATGAATCATATATTATTCTTAATTGCATTTACGGACTGAAAAGTTCTTCTCCACAATTGAAGTATCGACAATAATATAGGCTGACAGTTACAATGTAATAAAACAGACGAAAGAAAATTGAAGACTTACAATTTTTGCAATATGTGCTGCCTATAAGAGTTTTAGGTCTTGCACGTTTAAAATAAATAACTATCAGTTTACAAAAAACTTCTAAAGGTGCGTCTAGTTTAGACTATCGAGCCGAAACGCGAGCCGCGAGAGCCGAGCCGTGCCTCGAGCTGATGAGTTTCGAATCGAAATTATCGAGCTGAACTTCGGAGTCGAAATCAAATCGAGTTCCAATCAAATTTCACAAGAGTCACAAGCAATCCGTATTTCTTTTTTTTTTTTTTCGATAATTTCGATTCGAAACTCATCAGCTCGGGGCACGGCTTGGGGCACGGCTCGGCTCGGCTCGAGGCTCGCGACTCGGCTCGCGGTTCGGCTCGGCTCGCGTTTCGGCTCGATAGTCTAGACCATGAAGGAAGATATAAGGAGACTCCACTTGGTCTCGCCAGTCTACAAGACATGAACCCATTTTAGGTTTCGAGTTCCGTTTCCGATTCTCGACACTCGCAGCGCTCGTGAATTTAGTAGTGCTGCGCATAATGAGTGCGAGTAAGAGAAATGATCATTTCTCTTACTCGCACTCATCAGAATCGGAAGCTGAACTCGAAACCTAAAATGGGTCCACTTTTATTTTACGGAGTGGAGTTATTTTACTTCCTGGTCTAGACTTCTAGAGTCTAGACGCACCTTAAGAACAATAGTATGCTTGTAGAAATGAGCTTGTAGAAATGTAACTTTCAGCCGATTTTACTGGCTGTAATCTGTTTACCAGGAAGTAAGATATAAGGAGACTCCACTCCGTAAAATAAAAGTGGACCCATTTTAGGTTTCGAGTTCAGCTTCCGATTCTGATGAGTGCGAGTAAGAGAAATGATCATTTCTCTTACTCGCACTCATTATGCGCAGCACTACTAAATTCACGAGCGCTGCGAGTGTCGAGAATCGGAAACGGAACTCGAAACCTAAAATGGGTTCATGTCTTGTAGACTGGCGAGACCGAGTGGAGTCTCCTTATATCTTCCTTCATGCTGTTTACTTATGCCGTAATCTGTAAAAATTGACCAATCACAGTCGAATGAGAGGAAAATAATCGATTATACTTGGTCAATTTTTACAGATTACGGCATAAGTTAACAGATTACGGTCAGTATAATCCAACCCTAATTGTAAAAAATAGTAAAGTAGAACTTAATTTTGAAATTTTTTGTCGTTTTCTCTCTCTCTCTCTCTCTCATCATAGATTATATTTCACTACCACGTATTAATGCATATCTTTAATATTGGAAAAAGGTTTTCGAATTTGTCGACAAAAAAAGTATTTACGATATAAAAATTATATGGTTTAGTCGGTAATACAGACGATTTTAGAAGCCCCTGAACTTGATATAGCAAAGAAGCAGTTCTTTGAAATGAAGAAACCTTTCTCTGGACGTGCATGAAGTTAGCACCGCCATTTTGTTAAAAAAAAATAATAAAATTTGTGCTGCCGCCCCGAACAAAAAAAAATAACATATAAGATAAAAATAAGCAAGGACTCTCAATAAAAATAATCAACATAAAATAGAAAGGGCGATATAAGAGTCAAACAATAAATTATCATTTAAAAATAATACTCAACTGTCAGTACATTTAATAAAAATTTTTGAAATTATATAAATATAAAACTAAGTATAACAATATAAAATAAAAAATATCTAAATATAAAAAAATTTAAATTAAATTACATATCGCTACAAGTTTCGGCTCTAGGTTTGAGCCCTCCTCAGACGTTAAAAAACAGCGGACAAAATCATTCGTAGAAATGTCAATGTTAAACTTTTTAATTTTTATTTATTATAATTTATCGGATTGATGTAACAGCAATGTCGACACACTGAATTAACATATTACCGTGAATTTCCTGGTGAGTTTCTTGCAGAATTTTGACATAATTTGTTTTAACATCTATACAGAAAGTTTGTTACCATCTTTTCAGATATTTGAATTATACATTGACTTTTCAATCATGTATAATTGTAATGTCTTTTTTCTGTTGGAGACCCACGGTAGTAGAATGAAGTTCGTACTATGTAATTTCTGCGAATGATTTTGTCCACTGTTTTTTAATGTCTGAGGAGGGCTCAAACCTAGAGCCGAAACTTGTAGCGATATGTAATTTAATTTAAATTTGTTTATATTTATATATTTTTTATTTTATATTGTTATACTTAGTTTTATATTTATATAATTACAAAAATTTTTATTAAATGTATTGACAGTTGAGTATTATTTTTAAATGATAATTTATTGTTTGACTCTTATATCGCCCTTTCTATTTTATGTTGATTAAAAATAACATATCCTACCCGCTTAGGGTCTAACTGCCTAGAAGTTACAGCGTAGACAGTGAATGCTTGCAATATTTCTAACTCATTTTAAATTTCATACAATATAAATTTCGTTCCTGTTGGAAATTCCTTGCGCGAATAGTCGCACTCAAGAGTAAAGTACCCTTAATATCGCTGTGCCGGCGAATTTAACGGTTGTGCTGAGTTGTGCTAGCGTAGCACAACTCAAATATACAGTATCAATCACATGGAAGCACTACAAACCTGAATTTAGAACAAAAAAGCCTTGTGCGAAGAGTCGCGTTCAAGAGTAAAGTACCCTTAATATCGCTGTACCGAATTTAACGGTTGTGCTGAGTTGTGCTAGCGTAGCACAACTCAAATATACAGTATCGATCACATGGAAGCACTACAAACCCGATTTATGGGCAAAAAACCGAACACGGAGGAAAAAACTATTTTTAGTCATAACTTTTGGTGTTATGAATGAACGGCTGAAATCTTTGCGACACAATGTAGCACAAATCGAGCACAACTCAGCACAATGTTTATTTTGCCGATTAAACAAAATGGCGGTGCTGGCGAAAAAACGTTTTTTTTCAATTTAACGCTTTGTTTTTTGAGTTATGTCATTAATTCTTGCGGCACAATGTAGTACAAATCTAGCACAATTCAGCACAAATTTTATTATTTTTTTTTAACAAAATGGCGGTGCTAACTTCATGCACATTTTCTCTGGATGTATAATTTAAAAAAAGGCAAGTAACAAATAAAACTTTTGTTTAATAGATTCGCACATTCTTCGCCAATTTAATGTTAACGATGATAATATCTGTGTTGTGGAGCCTCTGCTTTGAAATGCCCTTCATGGCCCTCGACAGGATTCTACTTTCTGGACGTAAACAAAACTTGTCGAATGACTTAAAGGCTAACAATTCTGTGGCATCTAACAAAGGTGTTTGCCAATCAAGGGAATCTTCATTCATTAACGATAACCCGGGAAAATATAATTGTAATGTATAATTACCCACTGTACGACCTTACGAAAACTGCTAAAGAAAATAATGCACAATACGCCGATGACACGGCAAAAACAAGTAACTGTAAAATATACTGTATTAAACCTATTACTAAATGCATCGAGACATTCTCGGTTGTGAATTTTGATAATAAGAAATCCGATTGTGCATAAATTCTATTGAATAGTCGTGTAAATAATTAGGACGTGATAAAACAGTAATTGTATTATTCTTTTTTATATTTTAGGGTACTTTTGTACATATACACATACTAAGAGCCCCAACACAGACTTTTGCATAACGTATAAAGCATGTGCATAAGGAATTTCATTGGCCCATTTTCTTATGCATGAGTCAATGGGCCAATCAAATTCTTTATGTATATGGTTTATGCGTTATGCAAAAGTCTGTGCTCCCCGCTTAAGGGTGATTTTACATGCAACGCGGTACGGTATTTCTATATGCACATTTTATCAATCATCTTATTTTTTCAACGAATAAGCCTAATAATTGCATTTAAATCTATTAATTTCATTAAAAAGTGCATAGAAACGTCAACTTGTCACTAGTCCGTGCCGCTTTTCCGCACAGTTTCTGCTCCATGTAAAAGGCCCATCACACGTACAAAAATTTTAATAGTAATCGTAAGGTCTTAAGCAAATTGGCCAATCACAGTTTAGCATATTAAAATGTGAGATCGTAATCTTGATTGTGATTGGTCGATTTGCTTAAGACCTTACGATTACTACTAAAATTTTCGTACGTGATGGCCTTTACCGCGCGTGGTTCCTAGTTACTTTACCGCCTACCGCGTACCGCGCTGCATGTAAAATCACCCTGAGGGTGATGTCCCATGGAGCGGTTCGTGCGTAAGCGGATTAGCGGATCGCCAATCACAGAATCGTTCTGTTAGATCTGTTTACAAATTTTGCAAGCTAATCTAATAGTGTTTTCGAACGGAGTGGGTTTGAACCCGACTCGGGTCGGTTAACCCATGTTTGACCTAAAAATATCATGACCTCGTCCAATCAGAAATTGAAATAGAACATGTGACGTCAAAGATCCGACCCGGATCGGGTTCAAACCCGCTCCATTCGAAAACGCTATAACAGAACGATTCTGTGATTGGCGATTCGCTATAATTCGCTTACGCATAAACCGCTCCATGGGACATCACCCTAAGGCTGGAGTCCCATGAGGTGTATTTGCCGCGTATAGGTGCCTTTTTCACGAGCTGCTGAAACTGGCCGTTCCAGCGACAAAAAAAGGTCACGTGATAAAAATTGACAAATAGCAAACGAATATGACGCTTGCTATTCGTAAATTTTTATCACGTGATCTGTTTTGACGCTGAAAATGAGCGTCGAACGTCAGCATGAAAAGGTACCTTAACAGTTGCAAAAGCTTTATAATTATTTTTATTTTTATGTGCCAAACGCGAGTTTTTTTAAATGTTTTGATTATGTTATCAATGTTTCCTGCAAATAAAGATAACATTTTTGCATATAAAATTTAAAATAATTTATTAAGTTTTTACAATTGATGTTGGTACGTGTATATGTTGCTAATATCCTAAAATATATATATAAGATTTACAAGCTCATTCAATTATGCAAGTGTCTGAACTTCCATGAGTGTATATATTATTATTATTATAGTTTATATAAGTTAATAAATTAGAAATATCAATATATAGATATAAGATATACTAATTTGATGTACCATTCCCTGAAACTTTTGTATTTTTAATTGAAAAAAAAAAATGTTTTTTAAATAATATGATTCCTTTAATTATTCTGCATTAAAAAATGTTAAGAGTTATCCAAAAACCAATAATTTATTTTAACATTTTTAAATCTACCATTTTTAGTCTTTCATTAAAAGGTTTCAAATTAATGAAGAAAACGAATAAGCTTTTGAAAACATTGGCTACGTTCAGCAGACTCAGCAGACTCAACAGTTGAGTGAGCGCTCGCTGTTATTGATGTATTCTTTGAGATCATCCAATCAAAATTTAAATCTATAAGAATATTTTCAAAAGCTTATTCGTTTTCTTCATTAATTTGAAACCTTTTAAGTATCGACAGGAGTGACAGAAATATTTTTGTTATGCCTTTTTACAAAAAAATACCTCTGTACGAGCCTTCAGGAGCCTTTTATGATTACGAATATCACAATCAAAACACGATTCATGTTATATTTTAGCCATAATTTGGGAATAAAGGTAACATTTATGAGTGCAGATCAGTGCAGATCTAGATCAGTTATGCTCATTTTTCTTCTCAAAGAAATAATATTTCCTTATGAAACCTGTTGGGATTTCATTGTTATATTGCTGGGAAGGCTCTTACAGAGTCAGATTTGCAAATTAATTCTTGAAAATTTTTATTAAAATAAGATCATGTATACGCCTCTCAACTGCACCATAGTACACATCGAGTGAGATAACAGAACAAATTTATATTATACCTTTTTTACAAAAAAATAGCTCAGTACACGAGCCTTCAGGAGCCTTTCCTAATTACGAATATCACAATTAAAACGCGATCCATCCAGTATTTTAGCCGTAATTTGGGAATAAAAAATTCATCTTCGACTAGAGGTCTCTGGGTCACTCCTGTCGACCCTTAAATGAAAGACTAAAAATGGAAGATTTAAAAATGTTAAAATAAGAAGAAGAAGAAGAAGAAAAAGAAGCCTCCGCAAGAAGAAAAGAAGACATTTGACACTCTGTCGCGAAGTTATTTCATGTGAGCATTTTGCTCCACGATGAACGCTCCGCTTGCTCCTATTATTAAGCTTTATAGGCCTTCTACAATAAGCCATTACCTAAGTTTTAAGTATTAAGTCATAAGAAATTGCCCACTCACAGTCGATTATTCTTCTCACATTGTAATTGTGAGTGATCAATTTCTTATGACTAATGCACAATTTTTTCACCTCTAGATAACCTTTATCCAGAAGATATCTCCCAGAATACAATGGAGATATCTCCTGGATAAAGTTATCCATAATTTATCTAGAAGTGAAGAAATTAGGCATAAATACTTAAAACTTAGGTAATGACATTGTAGAAGGCCTATTACATTTTTACTAAAGACTTACATTTGGGATGTGATCTGGCCGTGTTGACCTCCTGTTTAAAGCTGATGTTTCATGTGCAGCACGCTGCGGCAGCAAAATGTCACGTGATACAAATTTTCGAGAACTGATTGGAAGTGCGTCACCTCACGAAAGATTTTCAATCAATAATAACATTTTGCGAGCACTCACTGATCACTCAACTGTTGAGTCTGCCGAACGTAGGTTGCGTCAGAGAGAAACCTGAGAGAGGACATAACGACCTAAAACCTGTAACCACAAAATACTGCCGCGCACTACTGCCCACTGCAAAAGTGGATGTGAGCTACATGCCAGATCCACTATTCTGAGGATAACGCATATACTTTTCAAGACTGATGGTAAGTAGATATTCGCGGTTCGTATAATCGTATTCGCGCTACATAAAATGTGGATCAGAATAAATATTCCTCCCTGCAACTACATATATGTATGCTTACTTCCATGCGCGTGATGTTTATTATTAAGCTTAAAAGTATTAACATTAAAGATATATATTACACCCATTTTTTTTACAAATATGTTAAAATATATCGCGCGTGTTTATATTTTAAATAAGTTATATATACATATATATGATCCCG